ATTATGATTTATTGTAGTCAGTTCTTGGCACATTTTTCATCGTAGCCAAAACAAGAAGTAAACCTCTGGAGTCGAAAGTCGGAAATAAACGGTAGAATACGAGTGGACACCAAGTGGTGTAGCAATAATTTTTGTTATCCAGACAATTATTATATTAAAGTAGCGATAATTAAAATAGATGTGGGTAGACTAAACAATCCTAGCGGATCATCTGGACGTTTTCTTGGCAAAGAACAATAGCCCACACCTGGCGGGAAGGCTCTCGAATTTATCCAAATCAAACTCGATTTTAATTGCGTAACCTTCTTAATTCAGCGCGTTCGGTTTTGCATAAAAAATTGGCCTATTTGCCATTATTTTTTGCGTTTTTTCGGCCTCCTGCCCGCGATGTAATTGCCATAATGCGTGGTTGTAAAAACGGTTCGGATGGTACATAAACTGTGGGCTCGGGGGCGTAAGAGCACGTGTATAATTTGAGCGCAGACAATGAAAATCTGCAATTCTGCTCGGAAATTTGAATGCCTCTTCGCCGATCGAAGGAGGAAAAAAATGCCCGAAAGGATCAACTCCACACGAAACGTTCCGAGAAACATCTACATATAGTTTAAAAAAATTGTCGAAACGCTCTATTATCATATTTTTTTCAGCTATTCGAACGATTAAAGAATTTTATACACACTCAAAGTATCTACATAAACAATCAGGCCTCGAATGCGACGGTTATTCAGCCCTACGCTATACATACGTCAAAATAACGTAACGTTATTTTTACCTCGTTAAATTAAGACGGTTAAGTAGACGAATTTAAAACGTTTGTATATGTACTAAGAAACCCACGTTATATGCGAAATGTCTTCCATTTGCAATTCCGCCACCTACCCTTCTAATGAATAAATATTTCGCCGAATTGCGAACTCGGCCGCATAATGTGCTCTAAACGGTTCTCGCGTGGGCAAAGGGGAGGGATAACGTATACGTTTAACGATTATAATGTTACTGACAATGAGAAGTAATGGTCGCTACTGGTATTACTAATTTATTTATCGATAAACGCGAATTAATTACGAGTTATCCTACGTTCGCAAGTGATAAACGGACGACGATTTGACTTTTTACCATTTCGATTGTGTGTCGAAATAGATTCGATTAAATCCTGTAAATTGTAACGCGAACGCCCTGTATATGCATTTCGAAGGTGGGTAGATATTAATAGAAGAATTAGCATACAAATGAAATGAGTTACGAAGTTTTAAGGGCATCCATTGAATTAGATTTTTAATAGAATATAATGCGATGTCGAACGGAGGTCGTTATGCAAGTAATAAATACATGCAAAGAGATCGTTACGAAATAAATAATCATATGGATAACGTTCTTTGGGTTCCACTTGGTTTTTATTTTCGATAATAGCTAATTTTAGTAATAAATTTCTTATTCTACATTATTACGAATGCCAAACTGTCAATTAGTATCATGAAACAGGCTTAAATGTCAAAAATTGACAGTAGTGCATTTGGTTTCACGTCAAAATTGACTTTAAGAATAATCCTGTTGTATGAATTAACGAATAGAAATTAAATTCTCGCGGATAGTATATCTTTTAAACCAGTTATTTCCAGGATTCGGCGATCAATTCTTATTCTGCATTAGTACAGTATTAATATGTATGTCAATACTGTCAATTAGGACCATGAAACAAACTTAAATGTCAAAAAATTACATTACTTACGTTTTACGTCAAAACTAGATTTACCTTTACGAATAATCCTGTTGTATGAAATCGAATTAACGAATAGAAATTAAATTCTCGGATAATATATTTTACTAAATGGTTGTTCCCACGATTCGGAGGTCAGCCGAAAATAAAATTTTGATTGATAGTACGTGCACAGGTAAAGACACTGAAACGACCATTGGCGTTTCGGGATCGCGGTCGCCGCTGAAAAGGAAAAATAAAACGGACATACTTCTGCAGTCGCCTTAACGGCTTCGTTAATCAAATCGGCGTGCAAATTTTTCGCGTTCAACTGATTACACGACCGCCTTATAAAAACGGGTTTAATTCGCTTTCTTTTGCGCTTGCTTGGATCTCCAGAGGTGGAAATTTATCTGATTTTTTCCATCCTGTTTTGACATGTGTCATTAGTGCCTATTTCTGACGTGTTCGCGCCGTTGCAGAAATATAATTGACATTAATGACATTTGATTTGCGCAATCAAGCAATGGTTCCTTGATAAATTTGCTGTTTTTTCTAAAGCGGGTACGCCAATGGGATCGTGGATATTTCCGTTTTCGAGAATTAGACGTGAATCACGAAGTGTGATTCTCAGATGGGTCCATTTATTTAGTAGTCAGAATGTAATTGAATGCCCATTAATCGTTTAAAATACGCGATTTTTGATCAAACAGTTATTCCGATATACGCATTCGAAAATATCTGTTAGTTAATCATTAAAGCAGCAGAGCGAGATTATGAAATATATTTTGGAATATTCTTTCAATATTTTGCTGAAAAAAATTTGATTATACTCAATTGAAAACAATAAAAGAAATATTATTACCATCATAATCAAAAACACGTTATTATTTAATAACGTTAAACATGTAACAATAAAAATTTTAATTAAATATCTTCGCATATGAAATTTGTTTGAAATGCCATAATGGAAAAGGCTCGCTTAATATACTAGGTATACGTAGCTGAAAGATTCGTTTAATTTAACATAACGGTTAGTCGAATCGAAAACTTGGACAGTAAAACGTATTTTTTTGTGTTGATGTTGCCATCCACTCGACACAATACCATCTAAAACAACTCGAATGGTATTTGCCATTTTTACGATCCTACAATGCCCCGACGTATAGGTACACTCTTGTACCATTGTATGGTAAGTATTTTTGTCCAAGTATCGCCGAGAATGACCACTAATAGTAAATAACACCCGCAGTTGTGGGTTTACTGTTAGATGACGGATGAATTCTCGTATTCTGATTGAGTTATGGCCATATTGTGTGCGGACGCGCCTTCGCGAACAGGTAGGCACTTTTTTACCGTACGTTCACTTAAAAGACTATGCAAATTACCGCACGGGTTCCGCGACAATTTATGCTCTTTCGGTTCTTTTTCGCCAGAAAAAACTGGCGGTAAATTACCGGCTATACGCTATATTGACGTACGTCAAACGTCATTACTGTCAATTTTCGGCTAGCGCGCAAACTAAACGCTATTTTTCCGTTATTAAACGTTTTCTTTTGTCGAATTCCGTTGGGTGTCAACCGTAAGTACCGATATTTACCGTGAACCTCGACGTGAAAGTCGAAATTTATTACCGATACACGATGGAAAAACATATTAATAGTCCGCATAAAGTAGGCGGCACCATCTTTTAATTGCAAATTTGACGTTTTCATGGCTACATAAAAGTTTCTCGATTAAGTTATTTAATACACCCGAAGTGATGTCGTTGTCTTAGATAAGGCATGATTAATGGCCGGCGAAGGACTTCTCCGGCGTTTGAAATAAGAAAATAAAATGAACCATAAAACAAGTTGCTGACATCGAATAAACCTTCGAAGGATGAGGTGAATAGTTTTAGGTGACGCTTTTATTCTCCGGTTTTAATGGCTTAAAGGACTTTTGGCTTTCAGTTCGAAATTTAATGCCCATATCTATAATAGGTGAAAATCCGTTACACGCATACAAAGATTATTATTATCGCTTAAATAATGAAAATAGTATAGGTATATTAAATTCTTGGCGAGTAATGAATCATTTATTAATAAATAACCCTTGTCTGGAAATCCACAGTTTTCCTTTTAATATGTGCCTAAATTAGCAATTCTGAGATGCAAATATGCAACCCACATTACACTCAAGGATTAAAATTTTCCTACAATCGCGGCGCTAGAGAGAGGTTATTTAAAAAGGGACTAATACTTTTATAAATAAATTTAAAGTTTATTGAAACAACAGAATTATTACATTTATATGTATTTGTTTAGTTCAACAACTTTTTCTAATATCGAATGGTGTTTAATTAAATTCTACAAGTTTATAAGCAATAAATTACCTACAAGCTAATGCGGTAGAAAACGAATTAATTTAGTACCTACATAGATATAAACGGTAAGGTAATTAATAATATTATACATACCTCTATTCTCCGTATAATTAGCGAGAAATTTAGCAAATTCGCGACTCGAAGCGATTGAAAAAATATACAAATTAATGTCGACCCCCTTTTCCATATTTATAAACGCAAATTCCACATGACAGGGTAATTTCTCCCTCGGAGAAACACGCTCTTAACTCCTAGGGAAAGGTATATTAATGACGCTAATAAATAGTTTTCGTATCATTTTCATGATGATAGCGCGCCGTCCGAAAAATTCAACACACTTCAAATAGCTGGGTCCTTTCGTTTGTTGTTAGGCTACAAGTCTAGACTTACGCTGAAGGCGAACTATCGTTAATAGTCCGTGGACCAGCCGCTAGGAAACTCCTTCGACCAACTCCTCTACATATTCATCGATTTTTTTGGTCAAGAATAATATTAAAACAGGCAGATTGTGCTAATAGCTCGATCGGTTTTTTTACCGGTGTTGGTATGAATAATGCGATTAGTAGAGCGGGTTATGCGGCCCATGGACTTTGCAGATTTCGAATTCCGTCGACGATTCCCCGAGCTATCAATTATCAATTCGAGGAATGCGTAATTATTACCTTTTAATTGGTTTTAATTGTCGATGTGGGAGCGAAATCCCGGGCCGTAACTATCCGCATCTGTGATTATCGACGATCGCAGGACTGAGTTTAATTGCGGCTTTGGGTTATTTTTCGTGCCAAAAAAAAACATAAAATATCGGTTGGATTCTCTTCAAATGCCACTTTTACTTCTGCCGTCATAGACGGGGTAAAAAGAAGAATTTGTTGCGGGGTTTTAAAGCGAATGCGATAATATTGTGATTAGCAACTGCGTGAAGTTTCGTGTATTATAAAAATGTCAATTGTAGAAACTTTGAATTCGTTTAAAACTTTAAGCGAAAATAAAAGCATGCAATTAGATCTGCTAAAAGTTAATTACACGGTAAGTTAGCTCTTATTAGTACTAAAAAAATCTGATTTTTAGGATAAAAAGATCGTTCTATACGCAGCGACTTTATTAGACAACGACGACACGGAAGTGTTGAACTTATGCCTGGATATACTGGAAAACTTCGCGGAAAACGAGGAAACTCACGCGATTTTGTTATCCACCTTCGGGATATACGAATCTGTAGAATCGCTCTCTATACAGTAAGTTATAAATTCACACAGATAAAATTACTGCAATGTCCGCGCCATTCCAGCATGAGGGATAAAGATAAAAATATTTTCCAACGAGCCGTAGGGATCGCAGAAAAACTCAGGAATTCAACAACAAATTCCCACAAGAAATTGAAGCACACTAAACGCCAGCATGTCTTCTTCTTGCATGTTGAAGGTCTTAATGGAGTAAGTTAACTCTTCTTTTACATAACTTATTAACTATTTTTCCTCATTCCACCTTTTCCTGGTTCTATTTACTACTCTACCTACTCCTTATTCTTCTATCTATTTTTTATCTGCTCTTCTATGTACTCTACTATGTCTGTAGCATAGTTTTTGTAATTATGGATATCATCTTGAAGGAAAACTTGTTGAACTTGGAAGAAATTTTAGTGAAAATCAAGGGTATAGTATCGTTTCTAATCGACATCGAATTAAAGAGGCTCACAGTTAGGATTTGCCAGAGGCTGGAAATCAGAGAATTGGTGAATAAAATCTACAGTAAAACGAACCTGAATTGCTCCATCCTGGTGAGGAACAATAAAACCGGTCTGGAGGTAAGTTTACTCCAGTAAATTTGAATAGTTATGGAGGGTTAGGAAAAATTTTAGGAACGGGTGGACTTATTAAGTACTGGTGTTGATGCATATTGCACGGATCCCAGTAAATCTTATTTAGCCTTTCCCGAAGACTATTCGCATGGAGGGAAAGCCATCGCGGAATCCGCCAGGAAAATCGTGCAAAGCGGGAATAATGTCATTAAAAGCATGGTGAATTTTTGGAATGACGCCTTTTATTGGTAGATTATTTATTTAAATTGTACTATTTTAATTTTTACATGATGTAAGATGGTTCAAAATTCTAAAATGTTACGTATTATAGTGTCATATTAATGTGTAGTTATGAAAATAAATAGATATTCTTTGAAGGAAACTGTATAATAAATGCATAAATTTAAACTTTAAGATGTAAAGAGCGATAATTTTTCCTTTTTGTTTTATTCGGGTAGATAAAATTTTATTGGCCTATAAATTGATATTTTCTGTACAATATATTTTAGTACAGTGCTGTATATTTTTCATATTAATGTATTTAAATGCTTACAGAGTTTATTAAATTCGTTGTTTGAGCACTTATTGTGAGGGAAATGGAGGTAATAAAAAAAATGTTGGTTCAAGTCGATTTTCGTTTTATTCAAATGTTGACAATATCAAGCCAAAAAGGCGTTTCAAGTAAACCTTGTGTTACTAGAAAAAATCGTATGTAGGCTACGTAGGCGAAAAGGAATGTCGATAAAAAGGAAGTAAAAATATGAAATACTCCGTTAAATTTATTTTCTAATTTCATCTAGACTCATCTTAGTTCCTAAACGTAACGATTTTTGTACACTTTCAGTTTGGTTTTTTGTACAATTTTGAAACGCCGAATTCGCGAATGTTGCATCAATATATTTCTCGCAAATAAATTGATTTAAAAAATAATTAAGTTGTAGATATAAGTACTCAATTCAAAAATATTTCGATAAAATTTCTAATTGTAAAAATTACAATGCAACATCCATTTGCAGCGTTGGACTGAGACGTACTTCATTTTTGTTCACGGCTTGTATGTAGAATATAAATAATCTTATTGCCCTAAGTGTTTATTCTAAAAATACAAAATAAGTACCTACTTACACATAGAATACGTAGTTGCCATACAAAATATCACATTAAGTAACGTTTATAACAAAAAAAAGTAATAAAATAAACGAATCGTAATAGAAAAATATCATCGTGCATCACGTATTGGGAATACAGGGAATGTATAACAGGAATGAAAAAATCTACACACAGATGAACACCAATAAATTAATGTGTCCAAAATTATTGGTATTCAATCAGCAAATTCATTGTCCGCACATCCATACACACATTATCTAATAACATCGAATTGATATTACATTATCTAACTCTAAACATTCGCTAAATTCAATCTAGATGCGTATTCTATTACAAAAATACGATCAATCTCGTCTCATAAAAATATATCGTGCTATAAACTAACACCTGTACACGCGTCGAAACGTGTACGCGATTATCGAATAGAAACATGCGCAAGACGGAATACACTGAGCGCTTGAAAATAAAACCGAAACGCTCCGTGTATTAAAATCTATTAGAAAAATAATCTACTCGTTTATGTATAAAAATTCGTTTAAATTTTTATTGCATGAGCGGCACAAACAGGCGGAAAATCTGCGTCGTTTTTTCTAGTTTAACAATAGGAATTTGTTTAGTATTATAAGATATACGAGGTGTGTGCCTAGTTTACAGGAAAAATATGTACCCTAGCTACACGCTTAGAGCAGTTTATACAGCGTAAATTACGAATTAGTTCCGAAAGTAATCACTCGTTTAATACAGAATTATGTTTGTGGACCGGTCGTATATTATAAGGTCTGGAAACTCGACGTATTTTGTGGTAGTGGAGGTGTCCAGCAACCTAAATGTTGAATTAAAAAAAAATACTTTGCAACATCATCTCCTAGCGGTCGTTTTAGGAAATTCGCTTCAAACAACGGGACACCCTTTCCACTGGAGTTACCAGACCTCTATGTACGACCGTGGTTTGTGGGATATACTGAATGTTTTTCGAGAAGTTGGCCGTGAATGTCAATGTAACATTGGCAACATTGCACTGTCATACAATGGCGTCCTTTATTGAACCAACGCTTTCATAAGAAGTTGCCTGCATTGAAAATATTCAATTCAATGGTGAATTCCAAATCAGACTTTATTCTCTTCCTGATCAGTTTACAACATAATAGTCGAGTACAACCATTGCCAGCTTTTCAAAAAAAATTACCACGACCAGTGATTACTTTGGAACATCCTCAGCAGGCACCGTCGAACGACATTCGAAAAAAATAACATAAAATCACAATGGCGCTATTATTCCGATTCAGACTAAATTCTCGGTTTTGTTCGGGGCGAAGGCCACCTCCGTGGCGACGGTGACGTTGTCCTCGGACTCGCTGTCGGAGGACCTGTCCAAGCTGTCGCCGGGCCGCTTGGAGTGCCGCCGGCCCCTGTCCGGGTTCGACTCCAGCGTGGAGGTCTTGCTCGACGGCGACACCGAGTACTCCGAGGTGTTGCCCTCGTCGGAGGCGATGGTCTCCGGCTGGAACTGGTGGTTCGCTTTGTACCGGGTCGATCGCCTGATGGGCCTTCTCGCCAAGCTGAAAATTCACCGAGTATTAATTAAGATACTTCATTAATCGGTTGTTGATTGGGTGTGTTTCTTCCGAGTGATTGTGTGGTGATTTTTTTATGCATCAATTTACCTTAACTTTATCAATTCTTTTCCTGATAATTGCTTGCTGTGTAACAAACATTTCGGTATTAGGATTAGTTCATACGATCATTCCTCTTCTACAATTCAATAGAATCTTACCTTCTTCTCCTCAACGTTTGGTTATAAACCTCTCCTTCTTCGTCCGAAACACTATCATTAGCAGCATCTTCTGTACTGTCTAAATCATCCCGAGTTTCGGAGAATGTCCGTTGCCTCATTATATCGCAAATGGTGGTCGAGAGATTGCCGTTCTCCGGCGAAAAAATCGTATCGATTTTGATCGCCGACACTCGCCTGCCGATGGTCTCCAAGTTGTCCTCTTCGCTGGACATGTTCTGCACGTTCCGATTCACCGTGTCCTCGCAATCGAACCTGCTCGGACTGGGCGATCGCGAATCCCTCCTCGTGTACACTTTAACTGCAAAATAATCATTTTACAACGATCAACAAGTTTGGTGATCATATTACCTGGTTCCTGATGAGGCAGCATGTAGTGCAGGGTGATGCAGTTGCCGTTGGTGCCCTCTTCTTCGAGTATGACGCGCTGGGGGTAGGTGAGGGTGGTGGTGCTGGCGCAGCTGGTGGTGGCCGGGCTGAGGTCGGTCTCGCTGAGGTCCATGGGTTCGGTCTGCGTTTCGGCGTCGACTACTAGAGACATGCGGTTGCTGGAGGATCGCGAGCAGCGAGAGTTCCTCGGCGAGTTGGAGTTCGTGCGGGAGTGTTTCTTTTTGGTGAGAGTGGTTTGCGTGGTGGCCGATGAGTGAGTGGCGATGTCTTGTTCGATGTTGAGTCTTCTGTAATCCGGTGGAGCTGGCATCTGAAATTTGGATCGCTAATTATTTGGTGGTAAATAAGGGTAGAAAAATTACTGACGTTTTGTGGGCTATCAGGACTCGTTAGGCTGCATTCAGGGCTAGTTGGAGTGGTGCTTTGATTGCCGGCTCTTCTTCTAGTGTTGAATCTAGGTAAAATTCTTCTCGGCCTTCCGAGCGGGCGCTTCCTTTGGAATTGTTGGATCTTTCCGTTCAACTCGACTAGCATTTGATTGACTTTTTCTAATCGCCTGTCGCATACTTCTCTGATTTCTTGGATGTGCTTCAGCTCCAATTCCCTTTTCTTTATGAGTTGTTCCTCTTCGAGTTGGTACTTGATTTTGTGCTCCTGCAATTTCTCGCAGAACTCGGATATTTGAGATCGTATCTCGTGCTTCCAGTCGCCGTTCGTTTCCAAAAACGTTTTGTTCTTTTTGGAGAGAACGTTGGAAGACGCGATTTCTAAATGATTGCAAATCAGCTTGAAATTAGGCCTCTCCTTCGGGTTGAATTTCCAGCACATCTGCATGATGAGCTTGAACCCGTCCGGACAGGTAGTGGGAATCGGAGGGGACAATTTTCCGGAGCCCACTGAATACATGATGGCACCTTGGTTCATACCGTCGTACGGTACTTCGCAGGTTATTAGTTCCCAAAGAACGACTCCGTAGGACCAGATATCCACTTTTTCGCTGCAAGCCAGTTCCTGGATAGCTTCCGGAGCCATCCAGGCTACCGTACCGGCGAATGTCATTTTCTCGCTAACTCCATTCCACGTTCTTGAGGTTCCAAAATCGCTGATTTTGATGATTTCATCTTTGCCAATCAGCACACTATAAATGAATTTTACTATAAACAATTCTTACTCTACAATATTTTAACTTACTTAGGGCTTTTTAAATCTCTGTGTATAATTTTATGGCTGTGCAAATACTGCATGCCATTGGCGATTTGTTTAGCCCAAGTGACGACCCTGTTGATGGTCACCATGTCTTTCTGGTTCTTGAGCAAATCGAACAAGGGCCCGTACGGGCAAAACTCCATCACGATGCAGTAGCAGGACGGCTCCTGCGTGCACACGCCCTTGAATTTGACGATGTTCAGGTGGTTCAATTTCCGCAGGTTCCTGATGTCCGTGTCCTTCAGCTCGGAGACCTTCTTCACCGCCACCTGCTCGTCGTTGAGCTTGCCGGAGAAGACGGCGCCCTGGCCGCCGGACCCGAGGAACTTCAGATCCTTGATTTTCTCGAAGGGTATCTCCCAGTCGTCTGCAAATCAATTAGCTGTAATCGCACAGCGGAAGCCGGATTGCGGGATTACCTTGAGCATTTTTGTTGTCGGCTACTCCTTTGCCGATCATGGAGAGGACCGGTCGCAAGCAGCCGAAGATGCCGTTGATCCAGCCCTGCTTGAGATCATAATATTCGGCTTGGGGAGTGTCCGGTGAACTGTCCTGGCAAGTAGCTGGCAGGTTGATGGCATATTCGTCGGTTAGTTTCGGTACTGAGAATCCATCTTTGTTAGGAATATCACTGAAATTTACCAAACCTAATTAATTCGTTATTAAAATAATTATACTCCATCATCCTGCTGACGAACAGAGTATAAGTAATTTAAGGTTAAAGGGAATATTTTTGAGGAATAATTTGTGGGAAAAAGTGAAATAAAGGAGAAATGTTTTGTGTTTGATCGATTCCGAAGCGTTTCGGTTCCGTTAAATTATAAAATATGCATGGGGAGAAATGGGGGAGCAAAGGTTAGCGTGTCGGTGCTCCTGCAGAGGGGTGAAACTGTTTGGTTGCAATGTCATCGTATTTTATTCTAACCCTAAAGAGATATTTCGTCACGTGCTAGTGCATTGTCGTGCATTCCAAATTTCTAATCGTAGTATATATTTTTAAAACTTGTTTACAACGATTACTGTGTTCGGTTCTACGCCCGTTTTATTTAAATTTTTGCGTCGCGTGTTATCAGTTCATCTGCGAAATTTTTGAATCGAATAAATTAAATTTGCAAATCAAATAGGCGCATATAGTGCTCAGGGCGAAATTAATTACATATTTTTTGTAATAAGATCGCCTTATTTACGTATGAAACGTTTCAAATAGGTAATACTAAACCGAGATAAATTATTGGAATAATTAAACAATATTTGGTCGCAAATGTTATCACGGATTGTTTTCCTTACCTTATCGCCTGTGCCGATTGGTTCGGTATGTAAATAAATAATAATATCTATCGAATTATTTTTTTCGTTGCAAAATTCCCTGGTAAATTCTAAATATCACCCAAAATATACAGGGTTTTATATAATGTAATGTAATAATTATTTTAATGGGTATTTATTGGATTAATTTTGAGTCGATTTTAATGTAAATTCCACCCATGGTAACAATTTCGTAATAAATTGCACCAGCCATAGGAAAGAAGAATAAGAAGCATTTTACTACTGTAACACCTGTTACAAACAAAATTATAACTGTGAAAAAAAAAGGTACAAATAGTATAATTATATTTTAATTAGGTACTGTTCGTCCGGAACACGGTAAGTGCATTAAAATAATATAGAGAACCACCTCCTCGACATTTGAACGCATTCGAATGAACCTTGAACGCACCGTGTATTTTTATAATGTTCGGACATGTTTGAATTATTTTTTATTTTTTAATTAAGCGTTATTTATGCGGACGGTAAATATTTTACTTGCAATTTTCTCATTAAACAGATAGATGCCGATAAAATATCACATACTTGTTTATTTTTCGCAGGGAACATTTCCACCAGCTCGTAATTAATTTTTTAATTGGTTATAAAAATGCAATTTGTGGAATTGAAATGTCGATGGTGTAAAGTGCAATTTAATATAACGTATGTTTGTTTGTATAAAGAGGAAGAATCGGTTCGCGAATAGTGCTTGATAATAAATTAATTAGTGGGCCTCTCTGTGCACTCATAGGTATTTGACGCAACACGACCGAACAACAGGAAAACACAAACCGAATTCCTCGATTCGAACATACAATTTCGACATTTCAATGTCAATGTACGCTCAATTAAAATCCCACAACGCACACACACGAACACCTCCAGCTCGAAGGACCATTTAACATCTGCTCCATTACATTGCAAATAGGTGAAAATTCTCGCCAAAGCAAATCTAACCTGTTAACATCTCTCAAATAATTCTCGATGATAAATATGCCCGGCACCATCCGCTTGACGCCGTTCGGCACGTACACTTTCACCATTTTCGGAATAATCGTACGAAAAAAATTACAATTTTCTACACCGCGTAATTTCCATTGTTCATTAGCATCTCGTACGATTTTAGATAAGCACGCGGTATCGAACGCGCGTCGACTGATTCCGCCGAATCCCCGCTTTATCTAACGCTAATGTAATGTCACAAGGTACTTGTGCAAACGTAATTCGCAGATTCGATTGGTACCCACCGGGTCGCTGCTTTCGATATCTACAGCACTATATGGTACCCCATAGAGCTAACAAGCCTCCTTGTATACTCAACATTTATCTTAAATAAACAAATCTGGTATAAAGAGATGGAGTGCTCGCAAAGAGGGTACTTACTTGTTGGTGAAATTGCTCAATTGTTCCTTGTTGGGCAGAGAGTTCACTTGAGGTAGTTGCATGTCGTCGCGGAGTATATGATGGGTGGGCATGGGGTGAGAGTACGGGGGTGGAGGTTGGCCCCTTTCGAGGGTACCTTCGGGAGTGTGCATTATTCTTTATCTGAAACACAAAATATTAAATTATTATTAATTTGAAATCTCCAGGTGTTGCAAAAGTTTGTTTATAGGGTTGCCTAACTGTTAGGGTCGCGTAAGTGAGGGGATTTTATGAAAGCACTGTATGATGTTTTTTTTTTTAATTAAAAGAAACTTTAGGGTGCTGTTTAGAGGTTTCTGAATTATCTTTTTTATTCTCCCTTTGTAAAATTTCCCAGAATTCTGAATTATAATACGTTTTGTGATGAACGAGGGGTTTTCTTGCAGCCCTAATTTCGAGTCAGTTGATATTTCTTCGGTATTTATTAAGTGATTGATGGTTTTAATCTCGACAATTAAACTCGTCGATATCGTTAACCCAGTTAGATATTGCCTTTTAAGTGTTTGCTTTGCACTCGACCAACTGCATAAGGTACGGCGACCATGAAAACCTCAAAGAAAATAGTAAATATCGCGATTTTTTTTTAGAATTTCCTACGCTCTAATCGTGCTATTGTGATCTCGAACGTGGGAAATTCGCTCCAACAATATTTTTTTTTTCAAATTTCCTTCGACTAGAATTATTAAATTTGTGCGCATAATTGCAACTACTTGGAAAGTTTTTGTTTTTATGTAATCGGCTAATTGGCGAATCGTATCGGTGACGGTAATATCGCCGTTTTCGCGTTATTTTGTTCTAAGAACCGCGACTTTCACTCTAATCGAAACCGGTCACAATATAAGAGCGATTTAGTCCGGCGCAACCTTAACCCAGTGGGGCTTAAGTGCCGAGCACATGCCATTCAAGGCGCTAAAACCCATTCGGAAATCGCACGGATCCTTGACGGCTCCGCAACGAGAACGTTCGACCCAAGTTTTTGTTTACCTGTATGTTTTAGTTTCTTTTGGTTTCGCTTTCGGTGCGAAAAATAGGGCCAATGAAGCCTAATGATACCCCACAGCTGTGTTATAGTTATATTTTTTATCTATTTTATCTTCTGCTCCTTCAAGTAATGGTTGGAAGAAGAAGGCAGTCAAAGTGGGGATTTTGGAGAATTATCCTTCTTGTTAACTCGTCAATATTAACAAAATTGAAGCATTTAAAGAAAAATAAGTCTAAATATTTCATTGTATCGGCATAACAATTATTATTTTGGACACTTCGTCAATTTTTAAATTATTTTTATTTATTTTCATTATTTCTTCTATTTGATTATTTTTAAAAGTACTAAGTATTTGTTTTTTTGTGGCTTAACTTAATTAGTATTTTTGGCTTTAGGAGTATTTTTTGTCAGTTCAATGAATTTATGGTCTTTTAAATGATTATTTTCGACATTTCAAAGAGTAGATATTATGTCCATTAAGAATTTTATTTTGCACATTTTGGCTTGTTCACAAGAGAATTTTCAACTTGTTTGCAATTTCAAATAGTATTCTAGTTGTTAAAAATAACATACATACACGTTTTAAAATAGTGTTTCAGTTTCACTATTACTCTATTTCACTTTTACTTCACTATTCTAATTGTTGGGTGTTCATTTAAAAATTTAATTTGTCGAAAAATTAACTCAGCATTCCAGAGATAGTCGTTATCTGCAATATTTGCAAATTTTTAATTTGCGTCAAAAGGAATAAATTAGTAACTGAAACATGTGCTTCGCGAAGGGAGTTTTCATGATAAATCGTCTGTTATAACAAGCGAATTGTTAATTTTTCTATCGGTAGTTCCCATTCGTCAACGGCTTATCGCCAAATTCGGTAATTTTTATAAATAATCTACTAAAATAATATTTTCATTCGAATGTGTTATCGCTATTCAATTCCTACTGTAGGTGAAGTAACTTCCCTATTTCATGTAGGTACAAATATAATTTCGATCGGTCGATGGAAAAATATTATAATTGGCTCTATTTTCTAGAAAATATTTACATCGAGTAGTGATTTAAATATAAATACTGTTTACGTAGGTAGCAAAACGAGCGGTTATTGTAATTACAAAAATCGCTAAACAATAATCTATTTTTTATAGTAATAGTATTTAGCAGAAAGTGAAGCAGTTTGCTTTTAAATTAATATAGTAGGTGTAAGTGCATTGCCGATACAATAGCGCAAACACGATAAATAAATAGTTGATATAAAAATGTAATATATTTACGCGGAAATAGAATTTGACCAGTTAATTAACAATTAACAAGCAAACAACATTAAAAACGTTTGTTCCATTGCGCGATCATTACGGGTTTTCCGGTTCTTTTACCTACCTGACGAACCGAACATAAATGTACACAGGTAGCAGTTGTGGACCATCAGAGAAATCGTCGTATAGAAAATGTGACGATGCCGCACTATAAACAACACACTATTTGCATCACAAAGCACCGAATATACCATACACGCATGGTGTCAATGCCTGAAATTCGCTCCTTTTACACCCCCGTTCGCGGACGTGTATTCCGCAATATGGCGCACACAACAATATCCCGTTCGATACTGTTTTGTTCGGACTGTTCATGTCGCGTTAGGCCTCCGCGACTCCGCGCTCGTTCTCTGTCTAACCGGCTTTGCTCTTCAGGTCTTGGCGATGAGAACCAACTCGATGGGCTATTTTTAGTAGGGGAGGATGATGGCGAAGACTCCTTTTTTTCGGTCGGTGTTCGCGAGTCGCGCACTCACCGCTCGACGCGCGATCGTTTTACCAACAATCCGGTTACCTTGAGGCGATTATTCGCTCGTTACAAAACACTCTGCAATTGGATTTTCACTATCTTGGTTACTGGTTATGGTAAAATATTCAAATTCGGTTAAGAACCGAACGTAAATTACACATGTTACTAATTACGCGACTTCGATTGTATACTGTAAAATATCTGACTGCAAACTATTTGCTCTGAAAAACTTAGCCCTTGTACTAACGGATCCTAACTATCGCTTTAAGAATGAAGCCATTGTGTTCACAATAATGGGACACACGGGACAGGTAGATCAACCGTTGTGAGCAGGTAGATTTTATTTTGAAACTTACAAAAAAAAGGTAATTTGCTGTTTCACGTTGAAGGAACCAGCCAATGAAACCCCCACACATACAGGCAAGTCAAAAGATTTCCGAAATTATGTATTTCCTTCGGAGAACACCACACTTAATTCTGTAAAACACAGAACATTTTAACTGGGATATATTCCAAAATATAATAATTTATGGTCTATATCATCAATTGCACTCTTGAGGAGTTATAGACGCGTAATGTTTTTGTAAATGCTGGGAAATCAATATCCCTATAGCAACTGCCCTTAGAAAAAACAAATTGAATGCACTGATTGGTTCTATTAAAGTATAAATGGTGAAAAATTGAACTATATAAAATAATGAATTCTATATATTTAGGGATGAATTACTCTTTAAATTGAATTTTTCATCCCTTCGTAAAGATTTGGAAGTTAGTAAATTATTTCTCTTTAAAACATTAAATAATTAATATTTTGAACTTTTGTTATTTTAGTTAAAAATATCAATAACTAAGACAATTATAGGATTCGTTAAGTACTTAAAAATATCCAATGTATTATCAGCATTAATTGTTTATATGGAGTTTGTCTAGGAATAGTCAACTAAAATAACGAATTCTATGGTTCTATGGTTTAAGAATGGATCACTCTTCAAATTGAACCAGATTTTTCAGATGAACCAGAGGCATCATCAGAAATATAATGATTTATGGAGTTTTTCTTTTAATAACCTTATTAATTTTCCCTGTTCTAATGCAATACACCCTGTTTACGACTTCGTTCTTACGCAAGTTATCTCGTTTATTAGTTATTTGGAAATATGTATATCTAAAATATTGTGTGACGTCAATTTCATTTTTGCAATCATCGTTTTTCCGGTTTGAACTATCAACCAGTGCATCATCTAGGCAGCGAATCGGTTTCAGGATGTACCGTTGTGGCGTCCCACTCAAAATCCTTGGAATTCCGGGAATTCGCTCCGCATCGGCACGAGAAATCGATAAGGAAGGAACTGAATGAAAGGGATCAGGGGAACTCGGATTTGTTGCACCGCGAAACGTAGCCGTATAGTCCGGGAAAATAAGTATATACGTATTTGCAATTGATGCTGTAACTGTATAACGAAGTCAATATTTGCTTCCCGGTGCCGGTCGTTGGTCACCTGCCACCTGCGAGCGAGTTTCTTGCCGGTGACTCATCCGCAAAGAACTAGGCCCTTCGGCCTCCCCGCCTTGCTGCACTTGCACTCCTATGCGTGCACCGCTCTTGGATGTGCGGCTTTTGTTGGATGCGTGACTAACAGGTCGCTTTTGTGCTTTATTAGAGTGCATAGAAATACCGGTTTCTTTTTCGAACCATTAGAATTGCGATAATGCTATGTTGATGGTTATACAGCGACATTTTTGACCGCACCAACGAGACCCCGCCGCCTACGATTACGAATTATCAACCCCTACGTCAGAGAAAGTTATTGACGTTTTCGCGAGCCGCGATGCGCATGTGCGCTGACATTATCAGCAGCCTTTTCGTCGGGAAACAGTCATTTTTCCGAGAATCTATCGATTTCGGGTTTCCCAGAATCGGGAAAACTCCCACAAGGAAAGACGCATTACGTAAGGATGCTGCTTATCCAGGACCGGATTTTCCTATAAACTTTATAGCTATAGATATCAAAATCAAGTGGAGCTTACATTGAAATTATCGATTTATTTTATTATCTAACAAATGGGAGGTGACAGAGCCTCATAAGTGGAATAGTGTAGGGCCTCTTTTCAACTAAATGCGGCCCTGGTGGTGCACCAAATAAACGTTACGTATCGATTAAAAACACAATTATCAGACAATTAAAAAATATTTATTAAAAAATAATTACGATACTTATAAATATAAAATACTATAGAATAAAAGATATGTATAATACAATGTTAAGACAAAAAAGAGCTAAAATATTGTATAAACAGTTTAAAATTACAAGTCAATAGACATAAAAAACAAATATTGTATAAAATATAATTAAAAAATCATTTTCTGATCGATATACCGGCTGTTAACGGATCAATATCGCTGAATTTAGTGGCTTTTGTATTGGCCCAATTGATAAATTTCTCTCCTAATGTAGCAGCGCATTTGATCAACATTACAACATCCCCTTCGGCTTGATGAGAATTTACGGGTTCTTCGTTAGTCAGTCGAGTAAATACATCACCTAATTTATATTTCTCGCTGAAAACAACATTAAAATTTATATTCTTTTAAGTAGAGATTCAGGGTAGAAGGTTACCTGAATAAATTTCTCCTAGCGCCGGTTAGTTTCATTCTTTTGGAGGATTCTCCATTTTGATTTGCGATCATTTGTTTCTGTGGAGTTGTTTCGTTGAGCCGTTGGGCTTCATTGATGTACGAGTTGTAAGAAGTGGTAGGTTTTGCTGGATCGTTTTCAATGTTGCTGTCGTAATCTTCGCAGGCGACAGCACTTAATAATTCCCTAAAGCAAATTAAGGAATCTACGCACAGCAAGTCTTCGTGTAGTGACGACTTTGTTTTATCGATTTCCAATCTAAGAATCGGGAAGTCGAATTTAAACCCGTTGTGTGCAACAAAGCAGACCGGTTGAGGTAGCTGGCTCAAAAATATGTTCATCATGTCTACTATTTCTTTAGAAAATCGAGAGTTGTTTTCCAGAAGGAAATTCGAGAGACCTGCGAGTAAATGCATAAATAATACATTATTTCGGTTAGAAAGCTAGTTGGACTCACCAGTTATGGTCTCTCCATCGGGACTTATCATTTTACATGGGTTAAAACATAAATTTAGTTTATTTTGTACTCGAGGGAAGACCCCCAAACGTAAATGATCGCTTTGAACAGCGATTAAACTGAGTTCGGTTATCTTCGTGCGATTTAATTCATACGTTGGTAAACCGGTGGTCTCGATGTCAGTAAATACGAACGTTTTAATTTTTAATATGGACTGTTTAAAGAGCGCCATTTCACATAGATTACATTTGGTAATACTGCTCTTTAGCAGGCACAAATTACAAGTACTTCTCATATCGGATATTTTATTTTATATAGGTTTCAGGCGAATTTTAGTGTATTTACTGATAAGGTAAATAATGTATTAACATCTTCCGTACTTGGCCTTGTGATTGATCCAACAATTGATAAAATGAACGCACAAATATTAGTGCATTTTTCATTATTTTATGTAAACAAAAAGTTAGGTTATATTTATAATGACATTTTTTTTTAGTGACTGACAAGGCAAGGCAACATAGACAAAATAAAAGACATCTTTCTTTCTCTATGCAAGGCAACTAACAGTTTGACAACAACGCGAAATTAACGTGTCATAATTTTCAACTATAAGTTAGACAGAGAAATCAATAGTGTTGCTGTTCTAATTTGGCAACGTTGTAATGGCGGCAAATGATTGAAGTGATAACTGTCAACGTTGTGTTCCGTCAGTGCAGCCAACTGTCGAATTGCAAACTGACAATTATAAAATTATATTTTTTAAACCGAAAGAAATGCCGAAATATCGACAGTATTTTGTTTAAAATTTTTATTTGCCAGAAAAGGTAACGTCAAATTTTTATTTGCTTGGAATTCCTTACTTCTGGCTTGTATTTTTTCTTTGAAAACATCCCGTTTGAAATTTACGTTTATACCGTTGTCCACCTGTTGTGTGGCGTCATCATTCGATCCGTTCTTTTGCGTTTGAGTCATTTGTAAAATTTCCTGCGCGTGAATAAGGACATAAAGAAGTTGAAAGTTACTTATTTGTTATAAAATCAGTGCAGTTTGCAGTAATTTTTATTTTACAGAGTATTTCTTGAATATCGTATGTCCATCCAGAATCTAAACACATTCGGTAAGTTTAATTCCGCATCTTAAGAACGTTAGGAGTGTTAGAAAAATTCTTAAAGACAAAATGGCGACTAAATTTAGCGATGACACATTTTTGTGAAAATTTCGTTTTATTCTGGCACTTATTAGTACGAATTTATTTATTTATCCATTCCACTTTTACTAAAATTAGTTATTTTTCTACAAAATTATTGATATATGTAGTAATTATTATTTTTTTTATTCTAAAGACCCCTTTGCTGATGCAAGTAAGGGTGCAGACGATGATGTACAAGACGGACTCGTTCATATAAGAATACAACAACGTAATGGTCGTAAAACTCTGACTACTGTCCAAGGACTCTCAAAAGAATATGACCTAAAGAAAATTGTTCGAGCATGTAAAAAGGTAAGAAGCGTCTTTTTCTCATTGAAATACCGATTTATTATTACCGGTACTCTTTCCATTTGTGCCCCATTGGAAACTTCCTATCTGTTATTTGACCTGTTTAATTGAACGATGATTAGTTAAATACAATTTAATGAGATAACTATTGTCGAAGGATCCTGATCGATTGATTGGTGTGTAATTATTGTTCATAAAAACCATTACCACGTCAAAAGACTAAATTGAGAACGTATTAGTTCAAAATTGCCCAACAAATATTTGCTGCAAACGAGAAATTTTCAACCTTGAATTTTTATTGACCTGTCTCTGTATTTAGGAATTATTTGTATTATTTCTTTGTTAGTGCACTGTAGGGAATACCGCAATTAAAGGCAATAAAATGATAACGAATAATTTGTTATATGAACTATTTTGAAACTATTATTTGATCTATAAAATATTGCTAGTTGTTTTTATTGAAAAATATAAAATGTTACTAATTAAATTTGTGTTTTAGGAGTTTGCATGTAACGGAACAGTTATAGAACATCCCGAATACGGTGAAGTCCTTCAATTGCAAGGCGATCAACGAGAAAACATTTGCCAGTGGCTCACGAAAGCGGGATTGGCAAAACCCGACCAACTAAAGGTCCATGGTTTCTAATTTAAAAACCTTAGAGGTGATAATTTAATCTATGTAAATGTCGCGCTTTTATTTGAATCACGAAATTTTCGACAGCATGTGCCCATACAAAGTTGCTAACAGCTAGCGGTTAGCAATTTTGTCCAATAATTTTGTAATTGTGCCTTTCCATAAATACATTAGTTCTCAAATATTGTGTTTTTTTCATTTTAATGTTGACTGTGTTTAGTTTTTAATGTGTTTCAAGTAATAAATTAAATGTTTGGTCTAGTATTTTAAGCGTTTCATTTTAATATCTTACCTATTAACATCATTTTATTCATTTATTGTTATTTTATCAATTAAATATATGGTGGTTTGTTTTATTTATAATATCGTCCTACTTATGAATTGAGGTATCGATTTTATTTGAATAATGTACAGGGTGTCCCGCAGAAGAATCGACACATGCAGGGCCCTATAAGGGAGTCTAAAATATGTTTTAAACAAGCAAACTTTTGAATTGTCGACGATTTTAATTGTGAACTTTAATAGTATACATGACTAACATTTTTCATCAAAATTACAAAGAATTTTAAAATACAAAAAAAATAAAAATGTTTTAAAACGATCCTTATGAGATGAATATTTTTTTTTCATCCATCATGTAAAAAATTCTGTAATATTTTAAAAGAGGGTCATCCCTAATGAACCTTTTAGAATAGATCAATTGATCTCTCCTAACGATTAATGCTCTCAGTAGGTAAACTCGTACTAGAGTATACCAAATTTAGTTGTTTTAAGTTTGTATTACTGATTTTTTTTTAATTTAACTCGTCTTTAAGGCCTATACCTTCTCAGGAATGTGAGCTACGCGTCCCTGCTCTGTCTGTTCATTATTTTCAACACTGAAACATCTATGGAGTAATTGAAAACGCGGTGTCACTAGTTTTGTAGCCTCAATTAAATTGATTCAGGAAGTAAAAGAAATTGAAGTAAATGCAATACAAAAAGAGGAGTGGCAATGACTAGAAAAAATATCTGGGGCATGAAATTAGATCAGCAGTTTGATCACGAGAACCTTTAAGGTTTTTAGGTCACGGAGTGTTTATTTAAAATATTATTTTTGAATAAATCGCGCTTTAACCCTCCATCCGCATAGTAATTAAGGTCTTCTTCCGCCCCGCCTGGTGCATTTACTCCCGGACTTACATCATCAACAATCCAGTCAAAACACCCACGAAACGGCGGGGGCGTTCGGCCGACCGGGACTGGCGTCGTCGACGGCGGCGGAGACGCGCGTCGCTCCGCAACGCCGGCGCCGCGGCGGGCGTCGTCGTCGCCTCGATCAGCTGGCCAGTAGCCCGGATTCAACAGGTCGGCGATCGGCGGCATGAGCAACGGCGGCCGAGGCGACCTCGCGAGCCCAAATGCCCTTTCGGAAAACCGGCCGTTGCGGACGGCCCGCCTCCGCTCCTTCTGACCCTTTAAACGCCTGTCTCGACGCGAACGGTACTTACATTTGTACCGCCTTCAATCCGAGGTGCTACATCATCCAAAAGGTAAGTGGAAATTATCGCTCCATATGGAAAGGATGTGAGTGGTTTCACGTCGATGTCGATCCCAGTTTTTTGAACGGTACGGGCATGTGCTTTGCCCGTTTAGAGACATATGTTGTTGTGTTTACTATTTGATGATATAAGAGCGCGGATTTCGTGTGTAAGTATGTAATGCTGTGACTCTTCGATCGAATTTGGTGCGCTTTACTTAGGACGGATGTCACGTCGAGATAATTTTAGGCCATTGTAGAAATTCAAATATTTACCAAATATTTACCAACAAGATAATTCATCAATTTTAATCTCCTACTGAATATTTTTTGCCTCGTTCTTTTCTTAATACACCTTATTTTGTTAAAAAATTCTTAAAAAACGCAATTTATCTACCATACAAAAATAATCGTTAATTGTACAAGGCTACTTGTATTACCGATTAAATTTCTCCTTGTAGAAAATCTGTTAAATAAAACATTTCTTTGCTTACAGGTCATTCCTACACCATCGGGTGTGTCTTCGACGTTTGTTTCTGTCGAAGATTATAATGAAACTAGATCTGCTGTGCTACCAGCAGATGCCCAATACAATTGGGAATTAGATCAGTCCCGAGTCGATTGTCCTGCGACTTTCTCTCTCGAAGGTAAACCTAATTCAATCTGCATCCAGTTTGCATGTTTACCACTTTATACAGGGTGTTCCTTAAGGGATTCTAAAGGGTTTCATATAAAAAAATTACCGTCTTTCAGTGTAAAATGTAATTTTTGGTAAAAAACCGTTTGCATCAAAATTTTTGGTCCATTAGAATACGTACGTTCCAGATGTACCAATTTCTTCCAGTATTTATACCAATTTCTCCAGTAGCGTAAAAATTATATAGGGGAAATACCTGGTGCAATTTAAAAATCTACGCCACTGTAGGTAAAAAAGGTATTATTAATAATATTATCCGTATATAATGGGCGTGTTTTAAATGTCGAGTAATATTTTACTTTTTTTAAGCCGTGTATTTCAAAAATTAACGTGAATAGAAGCTGCTTTGCTATATTGGGCCGAATAATAACTCGAAACATTTCCAACATGACACGTATTTTGAAATTATTGTAATTTGTACGTAACATTGGTTGCCTATTGTGTTAAATAATTTCCCATTAATCGATTCCAAGAACAAGACTAATTTTCCCTACGATATTAGCATTTAGTAATATTATAAGGCGTAGGATTAACAAAAACGATAAAAAACGAGTAATAAAATGTGAATTTTGTGGGAAAATTGCATATTAATTCAAACGTGGCGCCAAAAATAGTTGAGCTACCGTTCGTTAGAGAGCGCCACCGATTCCCATCATGCGGTCCTTTTCTATTTAGATTAGTTTTCTGTGGCATGTGCCCTTGCGACAGCCATTTTGCCAGATCCGTGTGAAAAATTGTGTTGAGTTTTGCAAAGTAATCTTAAGCGGTAAGGAAAAAATATTCGTCTGTTGTGTAGATCGAACTGTGTTGTATATTTTTTTTAAGTGGGTGTAATTTTTGTGTTGATTTTAACAACTTCCATAGTAAACATCTGCGGCCGTTTCACTAATCGGTTACTTATTATTCTGCTTATGAAGATGATACGTTAGGTGGATACCCAGTGATAGGCACATGGTTTTTTTGGTTATAATCGAGAAAAACTCGGAATCCAAATAACGTTACTGCTTATACCATTTTTAGAAAACCACTAAAGGAACGGTTTAGATTGTTCCCTTTCCCCGGCTATTGGAGTCGCATTACCACATCATTCGTTTGTAATACTTGTAAAGTTTCGTTATCGCATTTTTTGATCTCGCAAAAAAATCGTTTGGATAGCTCGTTTCGAACGTTAGCGAAAATGGACAAAATAAACTTAATTTGACCAGTGTTGTATCACGTAACAATATCCATTAAAAGTGGTGTCAAACAAAAGTTTCATACGTCAAATGCCTGGCAGTGACTAGTGAAATTGTTGACAAATTTTTATTCGAATATTCTATTATAAAAAAATCAAACTTCAATGTTCGATTTTCGCGTATTTAGTACATTGTAAGGCATTATTTGCAGCTTTGGGAAATATGCTCGTATGTATTTGATGTGTAACTGACCTTGACGCATATATTACACCCATTACTTAAAAAAATAAGGTTAGGTTCTACTTCTACTTCAACAATCACCATATTATACCATGCATGGTATGTACAACTTTTTAAAATGTTTTAATACTGCTCACTTTCCCATTATATTTCTCGTATTGCCGTTTTTTTTCAACAGTTATTTATCCAGAACGTTTGGCTAAATTAATTGAGGTATGCTAATATTGGCAGGAAGTGTACCAAATCAATAAATAAGAATATGTACTTTCTTTTTATTATCTCAGGTTGCATCATTAATATTTCTCGGTTTTAAACGGTTTAAAAATTCGATTGGCATGTTCAATAATGTTAACTAGCACACATTTATATAACGTACCGGCTATATTATAATTTGTACTAGTTTAATATTATTATGGTAAATTATTCTAACTTATTGTTTGAAGTTAATATGTTTTGAATACGTTATTAAGGATTTTTTTATAATTCGTATAGAAAAATGTAATTTGAATCAATTTTGTTGCATTACATTTTAACTTTGCTTACAGTGGTCGATTCGATTGCGATTCTACGGTTTTTAACACAATTCACAGATTTGTTTATCATGATTAAGTCTAAAGGTCACCTATTTAGTTTATTACGGAATTTCCCTGTTTTATTTTTATTTTGATCTACAAATCCTTTTTTAAGTTCGCCTGTTTGCGGATGACTTTTAAAATTACACATTTTATTTTTATTGCAAATATAATAATTTTCCGTGCATCATTCCCCTTAATTGGATATTTTATCTAAATTGTGCAAATAAATACCTTTAGGATTAGGATATTATTTATTCTCATTATATAACTGAATATTAATTGTTATATTCACCTTAAAGAATGCCTTCGAAACCGTCACAAGTTGAAATGTTATTAATTTTTCGTTCTGTTTCGTTTTTCAGGATACGCGTACATGAATGGGGATGTTGGCAAAGTGCCTTCGGGGGTGGTATACACAACCACCCCTGAGACGAGCTCTGCCGTGGGTACCCATCCGGAGTATGTAGCCGTTAATGGGGTAGCAGAGGGAGCTGAGGGTCCTAGTCCTTTACCTCCCTCAGCTCCCCAAGACAACACTTTGCAAATCTACCCCTTGCCGCAGCTTAAGCAGATGCTTTCCCAACAATTGGAGTATTACTTCTCTAGGTATGCATTTATTTCACTTTGTTTATCAATGTTATCGTGTCTTGTTAACGACAAGTTGCGTGGTTAAAGGAAATAATGAGGTTTAATGTTGTTTGTTTGTTTAAACGGCATTTTTGTATTGTTGTAGTTTTTGAGGTGGATATATTTGTATACAATACGTTGCAGTTATTCAATTAATCTGGAAGATTATTATATTTTTATATTATCAGTGTTATCAAGACTTTTGTGATTAATTTCTAAGTAATTGTGAAGTATTATGTTTGTCTATTATATTCCTGGAATGAATATCATTAACATTTTACATATTACTAATACATGGGAATAAACGGGGTACTTTACAGAAGAATAGTATAAAATATATAGTATTTTACTTTTTATTCCACGTTCAGAGATACAGTTGGCAACAAAAATTATTCCGAAATATTATAATGGACAATGCCTTTGAAAAATAACTCGACTTTTATTGAAAACCAGTATAACGTCAGTAGTGGTTGTGGGAGTACAATAATTAAATATTTACGGTCATAAAATTACTTTAGCTATGAAAATATAAGCGAATTTTACTTTAAACAATCAAACGGTCTGTACCATAAAAAAATTAATTTTCATTTTTCCTTCCTGCTTTCATCGAACCGCAATTTTATTTATTCCAGAGAAAATTTAGCAAATGACACATACTTATTGTCACAAATGGACAACGACCAGTATGTGCCGATATGGACGGTAGCGAATTTCAATCAGGTTAAAAAATTAACCAAAGATATTAAATTGATTACTGAAGTTCTGCGCGAATCGCCCAACGTTCAGGTCGACGAGGAAGGATTGAAAGTTCGTCCGAACCATAAAAGATGCATTGTGATTTTACGGGAGATCCCCGACAGTACGCCCATCGAGGATGTTAAGGTAAACGATTATAAATAAAACGCGATGTTAATCAAACGTAATTGTATTAATATGAATTTTCAGAATTTATTTTCGGGAGAGAACTGTCCAAAATTTATATCCTGCGAATTTGCTCACAACAGCTCTTGGTACGTCACCTTCGAATCGGACGAAGACGCGCAAAGGGCGTACAGATATCTAAGGGAAGAGGTTAGGGAGTTCGAAGGGAAGCCGATCATGGCGAGGATAAAGGCGAAACCGATGAACCGGTTGCCGTTGCCGCCCGTCACGGCCGTCAAAAACGGCTTCCGGGCGACGCCGCCCCCGACGGCCGTCTACGATCCGGCGGCGTATCCGCCGGGCCAACAGAGATTCATCTACGCCAACGGAACGCCCGGACAACCTGTCGCTGCCTTTAATCAAGTCATATATGTAAGTAGACTCGCGCCGGGAATGGAGCGATAGCGCTTAATGCACCGCGCGAATTATCTTTATTGCATTAGAGTTAATTGGACTAAATTTGTTGTTGTTGTTTTTTTGTAGCCTTATCAGCAGCAGCAGTTTTACGCATCGGTCGCTTGGCCCCCGTCCGCTCCTGGTTATTTCGATATCAGCACGGTGTTTCAAGTGAACGGATTGGCTCCGCAGAGCTTCAAACATCCCAATTACAGATCGAATCAAAACAGATCTCGTAAACAATCCAGAAGTAACGTGCAAAGCGACCAAACTTCACAGGGTTCTACTCAAGGTAAGAAGTACACTTGTACACGTATGATAAGCGTTTATTGATTATCGGATTTTGTTTAAGGTGGTGGTAATGGCAGCAGTAACGGACAAGGCAGCTCCAGACCATCCACGTCTCAGGGGCTATCTCATTCGCCTTTAAATAGTAACAGTAAGGGTATTTCGTCTAAAGGATCCGCCTCTGAAGGCGCGATTCCGAAAATTAGCCATAATCATATTGTAACTAACGACAATGATGCTCATTTAGCGAGTCATAACGTATCTCTCGGTAAGAACACCGAATCGATTTAGAGGATTTTTAATGTGATTTTTAACGAATTTTAGGCCTAACTGGTGTGCATACGGAACCCGTGGAGTTGTATAGATTTATTCAACCGTCGCCTAGTATGAAAGAAGTTGTCCCTCCGCGGCACCGTAGGAAAAAACGCGATGAAGATAATGCCCTCAACGGGCTGTCGGTACAAACACAAACTAGAGATATTGTCAATTCAAGGGAATTCGATTTGGTTGAAGAAGCCTTTCCACCTTTACCAGGTAAAACGCGCTAAATAATAGCTCGAATCAACGATTTAAATGTTTTCCGTTTTGTTAGGTTTAGAATCTGGATCTCAAAATCTATATAAACACCAATCGGTAACTAATTCTAATTCAGAGGTCTTGCCGGCTACTCAAACGACAACGGAACCTCAACTAGGACCACAAACCGGACATTGGGGAGAGAACAGACTTGCAGATGTCGTTAAAGGTATAAATTCTTCAACCTTAAAAAATACTTTGAGTTATTATAAAATGGCGTGTTATAGGCACAGCGAAATTTAAAAGCAGCAACAGCACGGCTGGTTGTAGCAGTAAAGAATCGAGTACGGGCGGCGGCGACGATACGCCCAGGGCCGTTTCGCCGCAACATCAAGCTAGCAGTCAGGCCACAAAGCAAAATTCCGTTTCCACTTCGACGGGTCATCCGGATTGCAAAGATGCCTCGACGGAAAGCGGGGATATTCAGCTTAGTACAGTTACACTTACACCGCCAAGTTCACCAGAAAAGTAAGCGATCCGTCGTCGCGACACCGACGCGATATTAATTCATTCGCATTATAGGTTAGTTCCTGCTTTACCGGTCAAATGTACTATGGCTGATAAATCGACGAAAACTGATGACGCTCTTCTAAACGGCGATTTGGATGTATGTCCGACTACAACAAACGCTGCCACCATGACCACAGTTGTGCCAACAGAAGCCCCTTCTCGGACGGGGGCAGTCGTAACCACTTCGTCTAACGCTAAAAGTCATACGCATGTACATAGGCAGGACTCGAAATCCGAATCTTCTAGGCACGTTTCTCTATCTCCTCCACCTCCTACAACGGTAAGTTATTTTCGCGTACGAAATACCGTCGAGTACATGCTTGAAATGTTGCAGGACTACTCGGGTAATCCGCCGAGGAAAAGTTATGCTCAAGTGGCGCAACATCACAAAGAAGCCAAGGAGCTTCAAGCCAAGGAAAAACACGCAGACAACCAATCGGCGACTGTAGCTGCAACAAAACCGACTCAATCAATAACGAATTATAGTAGTAATAGTAGTAACATCATTCGCGGCCAAAACGAACGTGATGGTAAGGATTCTAGAGGTAAGGGCGATTTTATATGATCGCATTTATTTACCATCTACTGTCTAAAAAGTTTGTTATATTTTTTACTCATTAAGCCAATCCGAAAGGTAATAGTACTAAGAAATGACGAGCAATTTCTGCATCGAATAACCTCCTTTAAACTTGAATTTTCAAGCAGGTCACTTATTATATTCCACAAACTTTTAGGACAGCTAACATGAAATGATGAATAACGAGTTGTTTATTTAGATAATGGTTCACAACGAACAGATTCGAGTAGTAACGGTAATCAGCAGAGGAGCAGCGGGATAAATCGCGGTGGTGCCAGGTCTCAAAAGCGGAGAACTGAAATGAGAACGTCCCAATTACGTGACTTTGTGACTCCTCGGTCGCCTAAATAATTTCGGATTTACGGACGTTTTTTTTAGTGCAATGGGGACAGTGTTTGTTGATAACGTCGCAAATAATTAAACGACGCGCGGCGCGTTCGACTGCCCTAAATTAAAAACGAAAAAAAAGAAACTTACGGCATTTAAGTGTACGTGTACATTATGATTTCACTTCACCTGTGGGATTCATATGTTCCTAGACTGTTGTTATTAATATATTTAAAGAAAAAAAGAAAGAAATAATAGTGCTGTACGATGCAAGTTGCGCGACTGTGATTGGCCCAATCTGATATCGTTTTTGTTGACGCGGCTTACTCGAACTCTTTTTAACTCTCTCTCTGTCTCTTTCGACGTCTCTCCATTGTGTACAGGCTAATGTTGAAAGATTATTTTTGACAAATAATTACCATTTTGTGTATAAGCTGTATAGGGGAGTGTAAGTCTAGTGTATATTGTTGTTGGGTTTTTTTTAATTATGGCCATTTGTCCTACCTCTGCTCGACCGCCAGAGAGTACATATTTTAGACTAATTGAACAATTGAGAGAGAATATTTATGATTATGGAACAATGTGAATTGGAGTGGATGCGATGAAAACGTTTCGGAAATCGATCACCAATCAAAACTATTCGATATATATTTTAAGTGATAACAAAAATTCAATTAAACAAACGGATTAATTGAATTTACGACGTTCATAATGAACTTTAATGCTTGTGATTTTTAATAATAAATTAGATGAATAGGTATAACTTTTGCTATCGATACAGCAGATGCAAAACGGATCGAACAATGCACAACAACTAAACGTAAAAAGCCTTAAAGGCCGAACAGAGATATTCATGTCCCGAGCAAACAAAAAAAATATATTTTTGATTATTTCTTATTCGATTGATTTACTTACAATTTTTAAAAATAATAAAATCTTATATTCTGTGATAAATATTAAAACGCCTTATTGAAAAAATGGGACATGGATTATGTATTTTCTACTTTAATTAAACCTGATATTAGAGCAAATGAGGAATTATTTTGAATAGGAAAAGAACACTCTAAAAAACGAATATGTATTAAGTATTGAGTTAATCACCGCCGAAACTTCGGTAATTCGGTTTGATAGTTTTTTCGTGTAGACACGCGTAGGTTGTAACAAATTTAATATTTAACAAATTCAAGGAAATGTCACATTTTATCTAATGGTACAAAAAAATCATTTCTATGTAGAGTTGTGGACCATAAATTATGTTGACTCTTATTAAGCTTAATGCAGTTGCAAAAATGTTTGAAATTTATTTAAATGGGATCGGTAAAGCTCTCATATCAGTTTATCGGGATAAATTTCGAAGTATTAAAATGCAGAAAAAATGTGTTTTTATTGGATAAATGCTGGCTGGTTTATTGACTTGGAGTTTTACTGGTCTTATTGTTAATAAATTGAGAATAGGAGTAGACTAGATGTTCGAAATTAGAACATTTTTGTGCAACTCTACTAGGCATATTATATGAAGTTTTATCACAAATAAGCTACTTATCTCTTATTTAATTATTTTTAACGAGCATAAATTCGCCTAAACGGTTAATTTTTAGGTATGTTATCCTGTTTTATTTTTTTGTAATTTTTAAGGTTTAGTGTATTTTGTATTATTTCTTAAATTTAAAGTTGTTAAACTAGATTATATTTGAGTGTCGGTATATGAGATATACTAGAACTCTGTTGATTAGTATTCCATCAAGGTTTCGGTTATATAGGAGGAACAATCAGTGAATTCGCGAATTGTTAATGAAATCGAGCGACAGCGTAGGGTCAGTTCTCGTGCATTAGACGGCGAAAAATCGAACACCCTAAACACATCATTCAAATTTAAAAGTTTGTTTTTTTTAAGTTGTATGTTACTTATAGGCTGTGTATGTACATAACGAATTTACCGTGGTAGAGCAAAGGTAGGGAATGTGGCACATTTTCAGTTATCAGTATATAACTTACTTTAAGACTGTTAGCTGATTTACTTTGTAGAATTTGTTATTTTGATTGATACCTTTGGTTTTTTTAAGCAGTAAACACACTCCACTATTGACTGTTTGAACGATTTTTGTATATTTCGACTGGACGTTTAGTTTGTATTTGTGATCATGGTATTCGGTTAATTGCGAAATTTCTATTGGGGGATTATTATTCATCTCGTTCGACTACGGATAGATTCTAAATTGACTCGTTCCTCAATGGAAATTTGCTGTAATAGAGGCTCGTAATTTTAACGGTCGAAACTGATTTTGCATTCTTGAATCGATTTTTATCAATGTTACAGTGCCTTCTTCGATTTGATTTTTCGTAATGCAAGTTAAAAACGAGCGTCTATTCGGAGGGTTTTGCGTACCATGCGCCGACCAAACGAACGTTAAAAATTCCTTAAGTTATGTTTGCTCAAATTGTTAAACGCCGAAGAGAAACGTTTCGATATTCGTGTATTGCATTGCATGTATGTATTCTTGGTGTTTCTTCGATATCTACTCTTGCCTCTCTACCCTCGTGCTTTCTGTGGGTACCAGCCCGTTTGGTTTCAATTGAGTGCTTGGCGAAATTTATTTTTTTTGCGAAGCTTCCTCGTTTCTTTCAAGGGCGTTGAATGTATTTTTGTTGAAGAGCTAAAAAAACGAACAAAATTTGTATACGAATCGATTGCTGCTAGAGATGTGCTCAATTTTTAATTCTGTTAAAATTTCCTCGAGAACTGAATGCGAATGATAAGCGAGAGGAATTTTGAAATTAGGACAACTGAGTTGGGTTTGTGGCGGATTTAAGGGTATATTTTTATAAGGGGAAATTTAATGGTCTGCTATCGCTGGGAAAGTTGTCGTATTTTTCATTTTTCTTGTCAATTACCCTCGTTTTATATTTTGATTTGTATTTCTATTCGACGCACGTTCTATTGTGTTTTCGAGAGCTGGCTTATCGATACTTTTAAAATGATCACGAGAATTTGATCTTGGTTTATTTTTTACTTAAATTTTTGTTAATTTTGATCAACAATTAGTCAGTTATTGCGATTAAAGCTAATAGTATTAAGCCAAGTAGCTGTGTAGATTTTGTTTGTAAAATTTATTGCAGTTTTTTTTATTTAAGTAATATAAAATTGTTTATATTTTTTTCATTTTATTTTTGTAAAGAGGGTTTTTTGCAAGAAATTCGTCGAATAAACCTTAGTCCGCCGCTGCAGCTCGGAAGATTCGTTTATTAACTCAGTTCATCGATTGATTTAAGGTTGATTACATTTCTGTATATTTTTTAATTGTGCCTTACTGACGCTCTGATTGTACATTTTCAGTACAATTTTATTGCTAATAAAATATAATAAAAGTTGCTTGGATGATAAATCTTTATCTTGCGTAATATTAGAAATTATTTTATTGCTATTGAAAATGCGAAAGCCCATTGTTTTTGCGGATATTTTGATATAATTTAGTGGAGTGTGTGTCTGATATTTCTATGCATATTTATCTAATTATCAAAAACACGCTATTGTTTATTTTTGTGTGCAAGTTTCTATTATTATAGGTAATAATTGCCCTTATTATATTTGTTCTGCATGCAGGGGTGTTTCATTTTTTTTATGGTAATAGTGAACAAGTTAATTTTAATAATTCGTAAATTGCTTAATCTATCATACTGCATATTTTAATGTGGGAGTTTTTACTGAAGAATACGTGATTTTTTACATAAGAATTCCATTTTTAATTTTTTCGTTTCAGTTTTTAATTGCCTGGATTTTAGACAGTGTTTATGTACTTTTCTTTATGATAAAAATTTGCACGCTAAAATCTTAATGTACAATAACTAAATCAGGAGGTTAAATTTGTTTCTAGTCTAATATTTGTATGTATATTTGATTTTTTTGATGTATATGTTAAGTTTGATGAAGATAAAGCAGGTGATGGGGTTTTTATTTAGAACTTAGTTATAATTTTGCAATTAAGATATTAAATATTTATGTAACTCGTCACCTTCATGTTGATAAGTTGAAACACCTTGTCTGAAGTCCAAAATTATTTTCACCCCTGCTTTATTTAAAATGTTTTTTTTGAGCTGTACTGATTAAGCTTCTGATGTTGCCCATTAAAATTGTTATAAAAATATATTTCTTTTATTACAGTTGGTTTTCAATTCTATAATTGTCATTTATTTCCTTGTTTTGTACTTTTATCATCCTGTATATGCTTTAAGTGGGCTAAGACGAACCTGGTTATTGTTGCTTGCCTTACAATAACTGAATGTCTCCAATGTAAAAGGCCAGTATTAATTTAAATCAACCTTCATGGTAAGAAAGAAGAAGAAAAAAAAAGTTTATAACCTATAAAAAATGTATTTTAATGTTAACTTACGCTTTTTATAAATATATATTCAAATAGCTCTTGTTAATCGTAATTAATATAATATAGTATTTACTAAAAACTAGAAGTGAAGTTGTGGTAAAAATCAACAAAATGATTAGGAGTATACTGAAAAATAGTGAAATTGAGAAGATTTTTCTAAGACCTTTCGTTACCACCTCACCGGTTCGAAGCTCCCAGGATAGCAAAGACTCGCCATTAAAAAAGCTTCTAGACGATTCCTCGTCGTTTCAAGACGTCACTAAAGAATACAAGCAAGAATGGGTAACACTACCGTATCCCCAAGGGACGAAAATACGAAAACAGGGAGAATCCTTCCATAAGGCCAAAAAGGACCCTAGAGATGCCACAATTATACTGTTTCCCGGCCAGGGCACCCAATACGTAGGCATGGCGAAAGACCTGCTTAAATTCCCTTTGGCTAAAGATTTATTCGAACTAGCGAATTATATCCTGGGTTACGATTTGCTAAACCTCTGTTTGCACGGCCCCAAAGACAAGTTAGACCAAACAAAGTACTCTCAACCGGCCATTATGGTCTCTTCCTTGGCAGCCATCGAGAGACTGAAAGAAGAACGACCCAATGCTATAATAAATTGCTTCGGTACGGCCGGTTTCAGCTTAGGTGAAATAACTGCGCTCGTTTTCGCCGGTGCATTGGGATTCGAAAGAGGTTCGTATCTATCGTAAATGTACAGCACGACAGCTACTTTCGTTATTTTCGCAGCTTTACAGTTGGTTCGAATAAGAGGCGAGGCGATGCAAATAGCCAGTGAGGCGTACAAAGGCGGCATGGCTACCGTTTGGTACGCCCCCGATAGTAATTTAAACACCGCTTGCCTCAAAGCCAAAGAATGGGCGGTCGATAAAGGCGACATCATGCCCGAATGTAAAATCGCCAACTACCTCCATCCTTCGTGTAAAGTCATATCCGGTAGCGAATCCGTAAGTATCTACAACTACAAATCTCGAAGAAACAATTCGATACGATTTTATTGTAGGCTCTGGACTTCCTGGAGAAGAACCTCAAGGAGTTCAAGTTGAAAAAAATTAAACGTTTACCGGTAAGCGGGGCGTTCCACACCGATCTAATGGCCCCCGCTATGGACACCTTCAGGAAGGCCCTGAACAAATCCGATATTAAGGACCCCGTGATAACCGTCTACTCCAACGTGGACGGCAAGCCTTACAAAAACGCCGAACACATTCGCAGGCAACTCCCCAAACAGGTACAATTAATTTTTAAACGACCCATTTGAAGTGAGTAACCCTTCGATATTGCTTACCAGATAGTGAAGCCCGTGAAGTGGGAGCAATTGTTGCACGTTGTGTATGAAAGAGCGCCAGGCACGGACTTTCCCAGGACGTTCGAAGTAGGCCCGGGCACGTCGCTTCGCGCGATCCTGAAGCAAGTCAACGGCAAGGCTCACAACGAATCCTTCTGCATAGAAGCGTAACAGCGAGACTAGGATTACTCACTCCACTACTCGAGTAAGTCTTAATATTATTTATACGATAGGAATCGGTTTCGAATTGGTTATACTAACAAAATAAATTTTATTATAAAAAAAGTAGATTTACAGTTCTGTGGCGTCTTCGCTGATTTTTCTAAAACACACGTGGTCCGGTGTATCGGTCGGTATGACGTACGGTCCTTTACCGTTCCTGAACGTTCCGTATTCGTCTAAAACGATCTCCCTTCGGGCTAGGGGGTTTTGCGTTTGGGGTCGCTCTTTGTATTGGTGGTTGTGATTTAAAGTGTCCGTTAGAGATATCAAGTGGAACTTCCCGTTTTCCGCGTCGTTCTTGTGATTGTTGGATTTGGGAGCGCCTCGCAATTCGTTGTTGTTGTTGTAAACGGTATCCTTGTCGGAGGTTTCTTTGTACATTCCTCGAGGGCCTTGCGGCGAATTGGTAGCCGTTAGAATTTTCTTGTTCTTTTTGATGGATTTCGTGTAATCTTTCGTTCCTTTTCGCTTCAAAGTGAAGTCCCTTTCGCCCGATTTCGCTTTCGTGTTCCACTGGATCCAGTTATGTCGGGATATCGGATCTTTGGGTCCCCAATTATTCGAAGGTTTCAACGATGACTTGAACCTCTTCAAAATGACAACACGTTAAATAATTTATTAGTACTTTAAATTTAAAAAAAATTACCTCTATGAAGGTGTATCCGTCGTGTTTGGTAACGACAAAGAGACCTATTATAAATATTAATAGACTAGAAGTTAGGACGACTCCCCAACCGACGCCATATAACCATGGAGGGTCGTCTTTGAATACGCCTTCGAGCGGCAAAACTATCATGCCCCAGGCGAAGATTAGCGTTAAAATAATCGGCGCCAACCACCACAATACCAGCCAAATCTTCGATAAAATGTGACCGAGCATGAACTCGAAGTCGGATTTTATCCTCTCCACTCCTGCAACCAGAATATTTCTTAACTCTACTTTACTTCACTCTTCTCTATTCTAGTACACTCTACTCTTGATTTCTCTGCTATAGTTTGCTCTACTCTACTCTTCTCTATTCTACTTTGCTCTACTCTGCTTTAGTTCAGTCTACTCTACTTTTGTCTATTCTCTACTCTTTGTCTACTCTTATCTATTCAACTCTGTGGTACCTCGAATAGTTGGAATAGAATTCTTACCGTAAAATGCTAGTATCGTTAAAACCTCCAATATAGACGTGATGAGTATTAAATTTCCTACAATATAATGATCTAATAGATGAACGACGTCGAAATCGGTTACCAATAACACCGCGCATCCAAAAACGAACCCGGAAACGCACAGAATTATACTGGCCTGCCACCATTTCAATCTGGCTTTCGTTCCCACTGTAATGGCCTTTAACAAAGTATAAGTTAAAGTCGCCTAGAAAAAAGAATTAAGATCAAAAGTAGTTCGAAATGCAGTCGAGTATCTCGAACGTACCATACTAATGAATCCGGATAGTATGAACAAGGCGAATATCAATATGATCCATATCTTTTTATCCGAATCGGTTCTGGTACTTCCTATATCGTAAACGAGCGAAACCAGAAATAATTCGCCTATATCGCCTCTGTTTGAAGAGAAATTCGCGCTGGCGTGATTCGATAGCGATTGGGATACGATCGTAGAGCCTAATCCGAAGAGCACGTTGATCCCGCAATACCCCAAGGCAGTCCTGAAAAGACCCTCATAAATTAGAACGTACAGAGCGGCCCAAAATATTACACTCACCAAAAGGGATTTACTTTATTGTAAAGGAATCCAGCGTTCGTTACGAAGGATCCGAATCCCACTGTGGACGAGAAGAAGATTTGTATGCTCGCATAATACCATACCTATAAAAAATTCGAGAAACTATAAGATACACAAATAAAGTTAATTATAATTTACGTAAATTACGTGCAAATTCGTTTAGTGCAATCATACCGTGACTAATTCCTGTCATCAACAAGGTCGAGAAATCGTTACAGCGGTCGTTAGTTTGCACAGGAAACGTCGTGCTAAGATCTATTCGATTGTATCCGATCTACCCGCAAATTATCGAAAAGGTGGAGGCACTTACGTTGGCAGACGTTAGATAATTCCAATCGGCGTCGGTGAAGAATTTCACCAGATCGGTTTGCAGCAACATGGATTTGACGAAGAGCGCGACATGGCAGGCCAACGTGGGGAAGCAGAGCAGGGTTAACGATCTTACGTAGCTTTTCGTCTTGCCGATGGTGCTGGAAGGATTGAAATATTGGATTTTCTGTGCGGTAAAGTTATGTGGGGTACTTACAGAAAAGCTGAAAGCGTCCAGATGACTAGTAGAATCGCCACGAATATTCCGTACCAGGACGGGTCCTCGAAGGCCGATTTCAGGAACGTCGACCTGCGGACGATTTAATTTATTTGGATTAATGAATAGCAGGAGGAATGTTTAATGAGTGTTTACCTTAAGCATTCTTGGCCAGTTTTTCCATAATGTGAGTAACCAGCCTAAAAATAGAAATAACAAACGTGTGTTTTAATTGAATCATTATTTATAACTTTATCTGCGAAAAATGCGAGTAAAGGTGAAAAAAAAACTTTCTCTCGAATAATATTGATTAGTACTAATTAATTCGTTACCTCCGTTATTTTTACGCCCGTAGAGCATTCCTGGAACGGTATGGATCCTTTCCATATCCATATAACATAGTAGAGTGATATGCTCATATAGAGAGGATAATAAATACTTAACATATATCCGGCTAAAAACTTCACATAACCGATTCCTGAAATTTAAAACAAAAACATCCATATTAAATGAAGTGATTAGAGATTTCATCAAGCACATTTTTGATGCATATTCACCTTTCGGGAACGAACATGACGAAATCGAGAAGATAACCTTCGTCCGTTCACGCCAAGAATCACTTTATTATTTATAATTAACCCGAGAACAAGGACGTGATGGTTGCGTTTTTGTCATTGTTTACCGATTTGTATCCCATTCGTTTTGCAAAACTACTATTCGCATCGTTTGTTATTAACTCGGCCAGGAAGTAGCGATTCGAACGTAAATATGCAGCTACTTACCTCTGAAAAAAGGTATGATCCGCCACGATTTGATGAAGCCCTCTTGCGCCATCTGGCCGATTCCCAATTCGAGAAACAGCAACGGCAAGCCGATGAATATCGTCAGTATTAGATGGGCTATAAGAAAGGGCAGGCCGCCCCGTATCATCGTCGTTTGCGGCAATCTGTACAAATTTCCTAAACCTAGGGCCATCGATACGGTGCACAGCGCCGTCGATATATAGTAGAGTACTGTTTGGCACGACTGAAAACAGATAAAAAGTTGAAATCCACTAAGTACCTTCCAGATATTAAACTGCAAATTGAGATTCAATACAACCTGGTACTTGCTAGACTTGCTGTTTTCTTAATCATTTTAAAAGATAATTAATAGAGTACTAAGAGCAGCAAGAATTCTGGACCTTTAAAATGCCATAAACAAAACAGTCTTCCACCCGAGCTATTATCTAATGAATTCAGTTAATGAAAAAAGTGTATCGGTATACTGGTGAATCGCGTGCTGCGAATACAGTTCGAATCAAGAATTAAATGTGAAATCTCCGGTTGGGAGCGATACATTAATGCGTCCGTTACGGGCTGAATAACCGATGGAATTAAATCCGACGATGAATTTGCATAAGTTTAATTCGCTAAAAAAATATCGCTTCGTTCGTGCCAATAACACAGATCTGTTGATGGCACGGTTGTGACATAACGTTCGGACTATCTAATGAATTATGCAATTTGTCGCTCGATTAGTTCATAAATCGATCGAAAATAAACAAATCGAAAGGCTGTTTCGGTTTGGATTCGCAAAGGTCGATTTTATTTATATAACTTAACTAATTTTGCATAAAAAATTTTTTCTTTTATCCCCAGATGATTTATTATAGAGATAGGGAGCTAGTTAAATACGCGCTCATTGGGACAAAACCTTGTACTTATTTATGAATAATATTACCTACTCTTGAAACAACTTTGGAGAACGTAATTCAATAAGCTATTAAAAAGTTAATTTCGTTTTATATTTCGACATACCGTCGGAAATTTAGTTCGAATGTGGCGAATTAAATAGTAGGTTAAGATGAAATCTGATGAATTATTGCTGTATTTTACACCAAAAAAATTAACCAATAAAATACATTATACGAAATACTCCAGTGAGGAATACACGAAATGCAAATACTCCATGTGCAAATTGAAGTGCATATATTTATTTACATTCCGCAAACGTATTGTAGAAAATTATTACAGGAGACGGCATTGAACGTGTGTATGAATACAAAATAAGTTTGTTATCGACAAAAGTAAATAACATCAAAAATGACGGTATATTCCTGTGAAAAAGGAATTAAATAATCAATCATTTTATCATACACAAGACCCCACCACGCATTCGATCAAACGATAGAACAATAAAATAAAATCAACTTGCTTATCGATGGCGTAGCTAAATTAAAGAGGATCCGGGATGCGGATATTTCGCCAGTTCGGTAATCTTTCAATCATATTACTCACCGTCGATCGAATCGTGCTCTTCCAATGTTCGCACTCTCTTAGCAAAGATTTTAATCTGTATGTTAACACGTCCACATAGCCGATTTTCTGGTACTCCGGCGGGCGCGTGGAATTGTAATGGAAATTCACGAACACCCCATTTTCGTACTCCCTGTATATCGTTGCCATTATTTTCGAAAAACCTCCGAGCACGATGCTCAGTGACCGAACCGGCGCGTATCCACCTCGTTACTGTGGGATGGATATTGCACGGATTTTTTTTTCGTTGCCATTCATTCGATCATCGCATTCGGGAAATTAGCGAAGTGTGAAAAACAGGTGCCCGCTTTTATTACCATTTCTCTTTCTGCGATGTGTGTTTATTGCACTTATAGGCGACTTATTATTGAGGTTAATTTAGCGCGCGGGTGGAGGTCAATTAGCTGGATTCGTCTCTAAGGTTATACCGATTGTCTACAAGAAAAGAATGCGCTAATAAGGCAATTCCTAAACTGGAAAATGCAGGAGTAATTGGATCTTCTTGCAGATAAGTCCAAGAACGAGGAAAAACATTAGTTAATTTTCTAAGGTGTAATTATATAGGAATCAATAGAGAAAGATTCCACAACGAAGCCTCGATCTTTCCAAATTTTTGCGAAACCATTTCACGTACAATGTGAAAGTCCGTCTTTCCTAATCCCTTACGTTTCAATGGTGCGTTTTCATTCAAAGCGACTTTCCCATCGCGGTGAGAAAAATACATATTAATAGGCGAATCTAAATAATGCGACGCTCTAATGAAAACAAGAGTTCGAACAGAAAGCGAATTAAAAACATTTTTTTATCATTGCATGATTTCTTGCGATAAGGCGTGCTTCGTATGAAGAATGGAAAATCGCGCTCTTTAATAGCGTATTGATAAATTAAGTATGCAGCACCTCGAGGAATTCAGGTGGTACCAAGAATACTGCAAATGTTAGCTACTTCTAGTACCTTCAATCCTTCAAAAGTAATGAGTAAATGGAGTGTTTCGAAGAGTTTAGATGGAACCGTAGAAGGTCCAAAAGAAAATATCTCGAGATGGTACCTTAAGAAGTCCAAAAGGTCCTTAAATTTGGAACTTATCCTAAGAGTAAAGAGTAATTCAAAGGGAAAATGTAGTGTCTCGAAAAGTTTAGATGCCTACCTCGCGGGCTTTGGAGGGCACCAGTTTGAGGGTGGAGCCCATCTCCGAGGTGTTGGCGGAGGCGGCGGAGGCGGCGCCGCTCCTGATGCACTCGTAGACGTTGTGATCGTTCGATTTGACGTCGCTGTTGAGCGACATGGACGACACGCTGCCGACGTCGTACTTCCTGGGGGTGTAGAGGCGCAGGTCGATGTCCGAGTGGAAGTTCCCTTCGACGGCCAGGTCATTGTAGGTCTTGAGGGCTTTCAGGGAGGGCGAGTGCTGGAGGTGTTTGAGCTTGAGGTTGCCGGTTTCCCCGATCCTTGGAATGGTCTGGAAAATATAGGAAGTGGTGATGTAGATAATATTTTTTTTGTGTTGGCGAGATAAAGATATCCTGCGAGTTACTTTCGTAATCTTTTTAATTATTTTTTTTTAATAAGCGTTATTCATTGTTATTATTTATTGGTTTTTGGCCCGATTCAATATTGCGATTCGTTATCTCTTATCTAGTTAGAACGTGGAGCATAAAATAATGGAATTTATAAATAGGAAATTGAACTCGATTTTCCACAAACTTTGGTAGAATATGAAAAAAATTGTGGTGTAGAATTTATGCAATCAAATCTACTCACTAATTTTCCCGTTGTCTTTCGAAACGATAGCATAATAATTATACACAATTTAACGTTCCAACATCACGTTGATTATTTGAACGCATTATTTTTTCCTTTGAAAACGTTTTGTTTATGTAAAATCCTCGATTTAACTGGTATACCAAAAATTGTTCCAATTTATTATGATTACTGATAAAACTCGATAAAATTATATCTACAATAAGTGAGAGGTGGAAATTTTTCAGGCAATCGCGCAGAATACAATTGAATTCCAGAATTGAAAATGAATGTTTGTTTTTACTAATTTAGAAATTTCTAATCACCTCAAAATGAAACCACCTACCTATATAATTTTATTTACACTATGTATGCGAGAGTAATGTGTAAAATAAGGTCTTAATTAACTTTAATTAATGAATTATTACTCTTAATGAATAATTCCAAGGATTTTCAGTTACCTTAATTTAATACTTATATTAAAATGCAAATAAAATTAGATTTCCAATTAAATAAGAAACCTACACAAATCGCGCATATTAAACAAAAATCTACGCTTTATTGGGACATCTTGTATATAAAATACAAATCAATCGAGTACGCAATTCAAGGAATCACAAGAAGGTAAAAGTGATTGGATCATCTTTACAAAATTACCCGGATTACGAATCGGTATGCCAGTATGTAAAAGATATTAACGTTATCGTCGTTTCCGATAAAGCGAATTCAAGTGGCATTCCACAATTGCTATTTATGCTTTCGAATTATCATACAAAATGAGGCTATCCAGGAAAAATAGGCGACATATTTTTCGAGCGTTTAGATTTTCCTATCTAAATTGACTTTTGTTGTGGCTCGAGTTTAAGTGCCCGGCAATCTGAGTGCGTGTATTTACAAACACGATCGAATCCAATTACACGGTCGAGCTTTGTTATTTACATACATGCTGTAGGTCGAAAGGTTTATTATTTTGTTATTTTACATAACGAAATTATTATTGTTTTTTATTTAATTATGTCATTAACGGTTTCATTCGAAGCACGTTCTCCGACTAGCAATTTCGACCGATACTTGATCGAAGTTAGAAATAATTGTATTTAAAATTAAAATTTCTATTTATTTCCTCGCGATTGGTCTCGCAAAATAGTTACGTAAAAGTTATACCCGGTGCGTTTAATTGGAAATAAATCCGAATGTTATTAAAATTTCGCCATCGTTATTGATATTTCTCACTAATTGCACAGTTTTATATTCATTACGGTTTAATTAACCTGTTTACTTTTATATAAGCAATTTAAAATTACCGAATGATCAGGACACATACATAGTGTGTCCGGAAAACTAACTATTTATTTATTAAACAATATCAATTATCGGTTTTATTTCGAAGTAATGTTCTTTAATTGCATTGCTTCCTGGTAATTAGCGTGTTCCAATTAATACGTCTAATTGCATTCCATTTATTAGCTCCGAGTGCATCGGAGAAATAATTCGAAACATTTATTGATATGCAATTAATCATCCGATTTTAATGCTGTTATTAGAGAGACGTTTAGAAAAAAAGGCATTGCGAAAATAACAATTAATAATTTTACGGCAAATTAATTTTTTTATCGTTCCTGGTACAATTTCGGTTCGCTATTTTATTCATCATCGAATTTCAATTTACTAATGGAATAATTAAAGGTAAATAATATTTGTATTTACCTATTCATCTATTTTGCATTCCGTAAAATATGAGAGCAGTAAAAATTAGTTTGTTTAATTTTCAAAAATTGGTTATTAAATTTACTGATTTTTAGGGTCTTTAGGTGCAATTTGACTTTACACAATTATTTCCAACTTAATTTCAAGACTCAACTTACTTTCTCTATATTAACATAAACTTTTAAATCGACTTTTAATAGACAAATAATTAAGTAAACGGGCAGGGTAGGTAAATTAATCGATAAACGATACTTACCGAATGGCGATTGCTGGCCAGGTCGTTGCTGTTCCACTTTCCTCGCATTTTATTTATATGCTCGTATTTTTTAATTGTCTTTTAATTCCGCATGCACAACACTTTCGGCGTTCGCTAGACACTACTGTTCGCATTATTAAAAAACCAGTCCCAACGCGGAGATGGAGATCTATTAACATATATTATTACAAAATGAGCGACATGGGAAAAACTACACGATTGTTAGCGGATAAAAAAAAACCTAACATCTCCTCGCCGTGTAATGTATTGGATATGTTCTCTCTCGTGCAGAAACCGCTCGACTGGTTACTGGTTTTCTGATTGTTGCTATATCCATGGAAACCCGACTCTTACTGATAACGTAATTGGTATTACCTTGCGCGAGGAAAAAGGTAACCATTAAAGCGGCTTGACCGGATACGTGTACCTGACTATTTCGATCGTATTTATAGGTGTTTCTAAATGTCTATGAATTATCTATATTTTTATTGTTGCTAAAAATATAGGAAGCGCTTTGCCGCGGATGCAGTGCGTGAGAATTTATGACATTTAATACTGCTGCAAAAAAAATTACAGTCGTTGGGAATTGCTCGGAGCGTCTTCCTGTTCTTAAGGCTTTAATCAAACGGATAAATTGTAAAAATTTTACACGACTTCTAAAGGCTTAAGATTTTTTTTACTCTTTTCATTAACCCCAGATTATTGCCTATTCATTGTTTGCAACATGCTGGTTAAAAAAACAATTATAATTTGTATCAAATTTTATTTCAACAGTGAGCTACAATCTCAAGTTACCCTCTATGATATCATTGTAAACGTCTTTCATAGGAATATAATCGACTTTTTTGCTATCGTACATATAAAGAGGATCCTTGATGATTGTGGAGACCCGCCACTGATGGATCGGTTTAATCATTGTTGTGATTCATTACATATTACGAATTGTAAGAATACGAAAAAGTTAGTTAGTTTTTGGAGATTATTATAGAGATATGTCGATGTATATTATATTGTTTAGTATTAAATATTAGTGCGTTAAAATAAAGACATTATTACTATAGGGTGTGTTTTAGTGATACTTAGCAGGGTACCACAATTGGCGACGAAGGTAAATATGTATACATTAAAATAAAATAGACAACTATATAAAAAAAAAAAAAAAGAAAAAGGGTGGATTAAATTCTACTAAAAGATCATCGGGGTGGATTAAATTCTACCAAGTTACAGAGTGGATTAAATTCTACTAAAAGATCATCGGGGTGGATTAAATTCTACCAAGTTACAGAGTGGATTAAATTCTACTAAAAGATCATCGGGGTGGATTAAATTCTACCAAATTACAGAGTGGATTAAATTCTACTAAAAGATCATCGGGGTGGATTAAATTCTACCAAATTACAGAGTGGATTAAATTCTACTAAAAGATTATCGGGGTGGATTAAATTCTACCAAATTGCAGAGTGGATTAAATTCTACTAGAAAGTACTAAAACAGCTCTTTGTTTTAGGAGAGTGGATTAAATTCTACTGTTGGAACGCATAAAATTTGCTGATTCCAGGAACGAGGGTGGATTTGATTCTACCATTAATGCGGGTGGATTAAATTCTACCGAAAAAAAAAGAAGGGTAAATAAATAAATAGGTAAATAAATAAATAGAAATAAAACAAATTATGGTTTTACAGAAACTTGAAAAAACGGTTGAAGAGAAATGGACTCTTCAATTAAACATTTTTCTTGTGATACCATAGATAAGGCGCTACTGGCTACTGAATGGAGAAAATGGGTACGCTCTGTGAAATTATATCTAGATGCAGAAGAAATTACCGATGTAGTCAAAAAGAAAAATAAACTTTTACATTTCGGAGGTCCACAGTTACAGGAAATTGCATTTGAGCTGCCAGGAGCTATTGTAGAATATGATCCTGAGATAAACAACGACGTATTTAAAATTCTAACAGATGCTCTTGAAAATCACTTTTCACCGCAACAAAATTCGTGTTTTGAAAGACACGGTTTCCGAAATATGAAGCCCGAAGAAGACGAAAACTTGAACAAATTCCTTGTAAGAATCCGATCGCAGGCAAATAAGTGTCACTTTGGGAAAACTGAACAAGAAGCTCGTGAAATAAACATTAAGGATAAATTAATTGACACATGGGCACCGGTTGAGTTAAAGAGGAAGCTCCTAGAAAAGGAATTGCCATTAGAAGAAGTTATAGCACAGTGCCAAATATATGAACAAACTAAAAATCAAAGTAAAATTATGCAAAATAAAATGATTTCTCAACCAGACGGAGTCACCTCACAGATAAACCGACTTGAAAATCTGAGGAAACGGAAATATGGAGAAAACCTAAAAGAACTGGAATGTATTCGATGTGGCAATAACCATCATCCTTCAGAAATGAAGAATTGTCCTGCGTTAAATATTAAATGCCATCAATGTGGGCGCATAGGACATTTTGCAAGAAGATGTAGAACGGCAAGAGGTAATCGCCCAAGTTATTCTAAAACGTCAAATTTCCGTTCCAATCATAAAACTGGAAAAGGAAAAAGAGTTCATCTTATTGAAGAAACAGCTGACTATGACGAATCACCTTCAACTAGTGGAAGAAATAATTTTGAATGCTTTAGATTGGGAAATTCAGAAATCTCTATTGAAGGTAGCAAAGAAGGGATAATAACTGTGAAAATTGGTGATATTCCTATAAACATGCTAATTGACTCGGGAGCCTCGTGTAATGTAATTAGCGGACATGATTGGGAAACACTGTGTAAAAACAATGCTGCGTTGGTTAGTGTCGAGAAAGATGTGATGAGTAATATAAAGGCTTACGCTTCAGATGAACCATTGAAAATCAAATGTAAATTTACAGCACCCATATGTGTTGGAAACAATAGAGAATCAATTCAATCTTTTCTTGTGGTAGAACACGGTACAATCTCTCTTTTAGGAAAAGAAGCATCGATTTCTCTAGGAGTCTTGAAGCTGGGTTTCACAGGAAATACAATAAATAACTTAGAAAAAATCACTCGTTTCCCAAAAATTCGAGGCATTAAAGTAAAACTTACAATAGACCAAAGCGTAAAACCAGTTCAACAACCACTGCGAAGAATCCCAGTTGCTGTAGAATCCAAAGTTGAAGAGAAATTAAAAGAAGCACTCGATAAAGATATTATTGAGGAGGTAAAGGGATATAGCCCTTGGATATCGCCTATGGTAATAGTTTTCAAACCAGACGGAGATATAAGGATCTGCATCGATATGCGCCGAGCCAATGAGGCTGTACATAGAGAAAATTTTCCTTTACCAACTTTTGAAAGTTTCATGACAAAATTGAGTAAAGCCAAATACTTTTCTCGATTGGACTTAACAAACGCATACCACCAGTTGGAATTGGAGGAGGAAAGCCGCCCGATAACTACTTTTATTTCTCACAAGGGACTATTTCGATACAAACGGCTACTATTTGGGATCAACTCGGCTCCAGAAATATTCCAACGGACTTTTCAAAACATACTTGCTAAATGTAAGAACTGCCTTAACTATTTGGATGATGTAATAGTATATGGGAAGACTGAGGAGGAACATGACGAAAACTTAAAAGAAGTATTGAGAGTACTAAAAGAATACAACGTGCAGCTAAATGAGAAGAAATGTCATATTAAGACCAATCGCTTAGAATTCCTGGGACATATACTATCGTCATCAGGAATAGAACCAGACCCACAGAAAATTGACGTAATTCGTACTTTCAGAGTCCCAACAAACAAAGAAGAAATAAGGAGTTTTTTAGGTCTTGTAACCTACTTATGTAAATTTATATCTAATTTGGGCGACCTTACGGAACCACTTAGACAACTTTTGAGAAAAGAAACAAAATTTCAATGGGGACAACAACAGCAAGACAACTTTGAGAAGCTTAAGGAAGAATTAGCAAGGTTACCTACTTTGGCATACTTTAGTCTACAAAGGCGTACACAACTGGTAGCGGATGCAAGTCCTATCGCACTGGGAGCAGTATTACTACAATTTGACGAAAACAACGAGCCCCATGTAATTTCTTTTGCAAGTAAAAGCCTCACACCAATAGAGCGCAGATACTCTCAAACTGAGAAGGAAAGTCTGGCATTAGTGTGGGCCACAGAAAGATTTTACTTTTACTTAGCTGGAATAGAATTCGAATTAGTAACTGACCACAAACCATTGGAAGCCATATTTAAACCTACATCCAAACCTCCAGCTAGAATAGAGAGATGGCTATTAAGACTCCAATCATTTAAATTCAGAGTTATATACAAGTCTGGAAAATCAAACATTGCTGATCCTCTGTCTAGGCTCTGCAAGCTAGAATTTGGCAAAACTTTTGACGAGCCAAACGAACACCATTTGGAATGCATCATTAAAGAAGTTGTCCCCAAGGCACTTTCAATTTCAGAAGTAATAGCCGAAAGCAAAAAGGATCCGGAAATCGTAGAAGCCATAAGAAAACTTGCAGATAATACTTGGGAAACAAATGACATGAACCCTTACTATCCATTTCGTCTTGAACTGACTTTTATGGGACCAATACTTCTAAGAGGCAATAAACTAGTAATACCCCAAATATTTCGGAACCGTGTATTGGAACTTGCACATGAAGGACATCCAGGAGAGACTGTGATGAAAAGGAGAATACGATCCAAGATATGGTGGCCACGAATAGATCGTGAATGTGAAAAACATGTCAAGCATTGTCGTGAATGTTTATTGGTTGGGCAACCAAACAAACCAGCACCGATGTCAAGACAAAAGTTGCCCGCAGGCCCATGGCAATACCTGGCTCTTGACTATATGTCAGGAGAACAATATCAAGAACACTTACTAGTGCTAATCGACTATTATTCTCGTTATGTTGAGGCCATATTCACAAAATCGACATCATCAGCAGCAGTTATCCGGGCCTTAGAAGAAATATTTTTTAGATTAGGCCTACCGAAGGTGATAAAAGTTGATAACGCCACCAACTTTAACAGTCAAGAAATGAAAAATTTCTGCAATACCAATAACATTGAATTAGTCAATTCACCCCCTTATTGGCCACAAGCAAATGGTGAAGTCGAAAATATAAATAAGTCCCTAAAAAAGCGCTTACAGATTAGCTATGTAAAAGGGGATCAAGATTACAAAAAGGAAATAATGGCTTTTCTTATGATGTATAATGCGACACCTCATGGTACTACGGGGAAATCTCCGTCGGAACTTTTGTTTAATAGGAGAATCAGGGACAAGTTACCATGCATTGAGGACATAGTAGTAGAAAATTTGGATGATGAAGTCTATGATCGAGACCTCATTAATAAAGAAAAAGGGAAAGGAAAGGAAGATAGTAGGAGGAGAGCCACTATAGATGAGATAAAGAAAGGCGATCGAGTTATTCTAAAGAACACAACTTTCCCGAATAAGCTTACCCCGAATTTTAATAACCTAGAATATGAAGTCATGGATAGAAATGGAAATGAGCTAACACTTTTCGGAAATGGAAAAGTTACCAAACGAAACGTAGCACACGTAAAGAAATTGCCATGTAAAGAAATTGCACCGGAAACTATTTCAGCTTCTTCACCTCTAGATGATACCGGACCAACCACGGACGATGCTCAGCGTTGTAACCAAGGAAACCTGGATACTACTTCGACACCCCCGAATCTACCACCTCTGAGACTCGTGAAAGAAGGAGGGATGTGGAGACCCGCCACTGATGGATCGGTTTAATCATTGTTGTGATTCATTACATATTACGAATTGTAAGAATACGAAAAAGTTAGTTAGTTTTTGGAGATTATTATAGAGATATGTCGATGTATATTATATTGTTTAGTATTAAATATTAGTGCGTTAAAATAAAGACATTATTACTATAGGGTGTGTTTTAGTGATACTTAGCAGGGTACCACAATGATGTTAATATCGAATCCATCGTTTTGCAATTCGTTTTTTTTCACTTTAAACGTGCCGGTCATCGGAAAGGAATCCATCACTCTGAGGAACAGCGGTACAGCATAAGATGGCAATTGAGCCTTGAGTTCCGATGCCAGCTTAGATCTATTGATGGAATTCGTCGGATCTGCGATGGCTATCATGCCTGCTCGACCTTCGGTTTTTGGTACCTGTAATAAATTATACTCTGTTCGCTATCAGGAGGTAATAATCAACTTTTTGTAGCAGGGAATCGTAGAAGCGCCAGTAGATAATTAAATAGTAGTATTACCTTTACTCCATATACAACTACATCTTTTGGTCCGATTATGCCGGATATTTGGTACTCGATTTCGGTGGTGGCGACGTTTTCTCCTTTCCATCTGAAACCAAAAACTTGAGCAACATTTCCTACTTCTTCTCATAATATCTTACCTATAAGTATCACCAGTTCTGTCTTTGAAATACACATAACCCAAACTATCTTTGACCATCAAATCGCCGGAATTGAAGTAGGAATCTCCAGTTTTGAAGACGTTTCGCAGGATCTTCCCGCTGGTTTCCTTGCTGTTTACGTAACCGTCGAAATGGTGTATGCTGATTTTTTTGTTGATTTTACCTATCAAAATGCCCGGTTCGTCCGCTTTGCATTCGACGCAGAAACCATCGGCGTTCCTCATCGGTTCTTTGGTCTCCTCATCGCATTTTATGAGAGTGACTGTGATGATGAAGTTCATGAAGTTCGGTATGAAGCCGATGGATCCGAATTTGTTGTCCAAATTGACTGTAAGAAGAATTTTTTGTAGTTTTAGTGGATGTTGTGCGTGGATTTGCGTACTTAAATTGCAATTTCCTTCTGTCGACCCGTAGAATTCGTACACTTGCGGTACGTTAAATTTCTCCACGAAATCATTCCAAATGTCTTTTTTCAAACCGTTACCGAATATTTTCTGCACATTGTGTTTCACCGGCGGTTTGTTCTCGTGAGCGGCCAATATGTACCTGCATATCTCGCCTATGTACGAAGCTACCTGTAACGTAAATGCTAATTAGACATTCGATTGTATTCTTCATTAACGCCTCAACCGTGGAATCGTGTTTGTTGCAATCGCTCCAGAAATTGCTGGCCGAAAATTTCCTCCTCAATTCCACCGTGACGCCGAAACAGACGCATTGACCGATGACGAGCATTCCCCCTGAACTGTGATACAATGGCAGCGAGTTGTAAAACACGTCGTTGTCGGTCAATTCCAAAAACGAATTTATTCCCGTCGCTGTGAAATACATTCTGCGAAATAACAAGATGAGGATGTGTTGGGTTTTTTGGTTAAATTGTTCACCTGGAATTTTTGATATTGGCGGCTTTAGGTAGCCCTGTTGTGCCTGATGTGTATATGTACAATATGGTGTCTTTGGGGGTGGTTTGAGCTATGTGAGCGTCTGGGGAGGCTTCGGATTCGTTTGATAACTCCTCGGAAATTAGTTTGTCGTATTTGAATAATTGCACGTTTTGCAAATCGGAGGATATATCATTTACAACTGCAAAAATGTTGTTAAATTTTGTAGGTATAAACGAAATTGGTTAATACCATTAGTAAAATCTGAACCGAATATCAGGCCTTTAACCTTTCCGACGGAGATGCAATGGTACAAAGGCTTTGATACTAAATTAGTGTTGATTAAAGCCGTAATTACACCAATTTTTGATAAACCCAACCAAATTCCCACGTACTCGGGCCGGTTTTCCAACAGCAATGCTACAGTATCGCCCTTTTGGTAACCCTTCCTTATGAAATAATTCGCTATTCGATTACTAAATTTCTCAAGCTAAAAAATCGTTAGATAGAACTTATTGCTCAATTTCACAAGCACTCACTCTCTGGAAAGTCCAGATTTCATCTTCGAAGTAAATAGCTACTTTGTTGTTTTTGTTTCTGGCTACTTTCTGGAACACCTTAGGGATGGACATGCAATTGCGTTCATACAGCACGATCTTACAGAGCGCTCTGACGCCTCTTCTCAGTCCTCTGGAACAGATTAAAGTGTTTGAAAAAATGGGCGCGCTAAACGCGGCCTTTGACCTCGTTTAGTTGATTTGTTCAATTACTCTTTTGAGTCTTTTTTGTCGTCGCGTCTTCGCGAATTGAAATTAGTTTAAATTTACAATTGCCGGTCATATTCGTTGGAATTGCGAACGCTTACCTTAGATCTCGACGCCATGTTTTGCTTATAACGTACAGGCTCGTCCTGTATTTCCAAAACAACCATGTTATTACGACGATACTTGATACTATACCGATCTGTAAATAATTACAAAATCTATATGTTCATTATGTAATTTAATGTTGGACTTTAAATGCTTTTATTTATACTAGAAAACTCTTTTTTTTGTTAGTTGTGACGACTTATTTTTCACGTAATGAACCTTTGGATTTGATTCGGTCAAAATTATCGTATGCATAAATTAGCCGAAATTTTAACAACCGGAAAACAAGTTTAAAGTTTCACATATATATATAGATAGAACCGAGTTAGGATGCGAGATTTTTAAATCATGAATTACTTGGGCGTACAGAGGTACATAGGGGCACGTAAAAAAATTCGCTGGTTACGAAAATCGACCTCTTTTCGCTGGCTAAATTCGTTTTTGTCCGTAAATCGAAATTAAAAATGTAAAATTTTTGACAGATTTCCAAAGAAATTATTTGATGGCCGTTGCCCGTTCGTTTGGTTTAAACGGAACTAACACCGAAATGACAGATTTTTCGTTATTTTGACAATTTCGTCGATTTTAATGGACGAGAATAAAAGAAATTGCAATAATTCGCAAAAATATACGTTTCTTGGTCATTTGTACTTACCAAAAACCGAGAAACGATCAAATTATTTTTAAAAAAACTACACTAATGACAGCGGCGATGAACAAACTTCAAACTGTCAAAGTTGTCATTTCCGTTACTACGGGATACGTTGACATTTAATTTGATGTACAGGGTGTTTTTTCATTAAGGAAATCGGAAAAATTGATATACGGGGTGGTTTTTTTTCTAAAGCCAACAATTATTTAAATTTAAATTAAAATATAGTACAGGGTGACTTGTATTTAAGGAAATGGTAATTACATAAACCGAGCGAGCGAAGCGAGCGAGGATCCGGCTATATAACTGTCTTTGCGTAGAACGCCGACAGGCGTTCGAGCTGCGGGTCTATGCGGCAGAGCCCATTGTTATTCACAGCGATATAGTCGAGCTCGCGTAGCGAGCGAGACCTAATTTTTTTAACAGCCTTTGCGTAGGAGGCCGGCAGGCCTCCGAGCTGCGGGTTAGTGCGGCAGAGCCCATTGATAGTTACAGCGATATAGTCGAGCTCGCGCAGCGAGCGAGACCTTATTTTTTTAACAGCCTTTGCGTAGGAGGCCGCCAGGCCTCCGAGCTGCGGGTTAGTGCGGCAGAGGCTATTGATATTTACAGCGATATAGTCGAGCTCGCGCAGCGAGCGAGACCTTAGTTATTTAACAGCCTTTGCGTAGGAGGCCGTCAGGCCTCCGAGCTGCGGGTTAGTGCGGCAGAGCCCATTGATATTCATTAATTTCCTTGGTAGACCTTGGTTATTTAAAAAATTGATATACGGAGTGTTATTAATTTCTAAACGAAAATTCAATCGCACCGAGCTCGCGAAGCTAACGAGGATCCGGCTAGGAAACTGTCTTGCGGCGAAGCCGCCACCGTAAGAAAGGGGGGTTGAAAGGGGGCGCAGCCCCCTTTCCGAGCGTTTAGCGAGTAGATTTATATAAAATTGTAAAAGTAAACACGCGGTAATAACAAAACACTCGATTCAATCCGATTGTAATTTTAACAATCCAACATCGATACAAACGAGATAATATATCATACTTACTCGATTGAAAAAGAGTTGTTGAAGTAATACGAACATTTTCATTAATAAATTATAAATTTACGCAACCGGTTTTCTCGTACATGAACCAAATTTTGTCGCTTGCGTGCACTACGGAATTAAAATAGATGTCTCTTGATACTTGTTGCTTCGATAGAAACGCATTTAATCTCCCTCCAATCCCGCATGTGTTAAATAATGCTCATGCTCACAACTCACAATCTACAGCACTATAAATGTGACCACAGGATCGAAAACAGAAAACACTATTAGAGTGACCTTATCTCAACCAGTTTAGATATGGATGTAGATATGGAACAATCCTTTATTTATCGTTGTATAAATAAATTAAGGAATCATTTTATTTGTTTATTAGTTTTTCTTATTCATGTTTGCATTAAATGCATATAGGTCGCTTTGATGCAACTAGTTTTGTTCAATTATTCAATTTAGCGTTGGTTTAGCTTTTTGATAAAATAAATGTTAAAATAACACTTCTGAAAAAGGTATAAATATTTTTTACAAACAAAAAAAACAAAGCATCTATTTGGTTTCGAAAAACCACTAAACTCAATTCTTCTTTTTATTTTTAACCTCCACTACTGCCAACTTTGACAGTCTTGTCACTTGAACTCCCTAAAAAAATTGAAAACCTCCCCACAAATTCTGTATTTTTTATAAATTTATTTACATTTTTTTATCTCCACAAAGTCATCTCTTCACAACTAAACACACCTGCCAACTTACAATTACAGAATTTTATTAATACATACGAATTAATGTAGTTACTCATCGATAGATGGCGCGGCGAGTCAAACTCTAGCAGGACAATTTCCTGACCTACTTTCTGCAGGAGTTTTTTTAGTGACTCGAGTGCATTCCTGCACGTGTGATTCGGCAGAATCGTGTTCAGTTTCAGGTAACGTGACGTCATGACGTGCACGGTTCGGCGGCGTTGCCGGTTAGGCGAATATTTACGCCGATTCCGGGAAACTCGAGAGTTCAATTTTTGCCCGATCGTTTCGATGGGTTTAAATCGATTTTGAAGCGATTTTTTCGGCACGCGCTGCGCCGATTTCGGTTTTATCAGCGAATTCGATTTCGAACTCGACGCGTGTTTGCTGAATTAAAAATTTTATTCTCGACCTACGTCAGCGTTTTTCGTTTAATGCACTTCGATTAATACCGAGTTTGCGATATATATTACGTGGAAGGACTGAAATTTATTCTTAAAAATTCCATTGACCTCTAAGGCTTAAAGTTTATGGCAACATTGTCAAATGTGACAGGTCCTGTCTTTTACGTTAAATTTTGACATATATGATATTAAGATGGCGACAACTAACAGACATTATTTTTATAATTTTGTATCAATTTTAAAATAAATCTACGTGATAGAGTGAATGATCTGTTTGTTGACAAAAACGCGTAATCTATTAATCGCGCCGGAGGAAAATTTCCTTTTGGTGGAATTAGTGGAAAATCGCCGGCTTCTTCATTAACATTAACCATATTAAAAATCTATTACGAGCTGCGAGCTAAATATACAAAGGTTTCGGCTATTTTTACGTTCTAGTAGTAGTAAAATCGCGCGAAGAGCGAGCGCGTATAAGATAATCTCGATGATTGAGAAAATAAAAATTTGTCGCGAAAACATATTTATCGTAATTTGTAGATTTTAAAATCAATCGGAGAAAATAATAATATTTATAGGAATTCGATTTATCGACGTCAATCATCTTATAGGGTGAATGCACCTGACTAAAGGTTGGGATTAGTATACACGATTGCCGGTGTATTAAATTTCAAAATATTCCAAATCCATTACAACAATTAATCAAAACATGTCGAGTAAATATTAGGTTACTGGTTTATCTTATAAAAATTTATATACCCTAATCATCATCATTTCGAATAATTTCAAATTGTATATGCTACGTGTCACTCATGTCTCCTTTCACCGTATAGTTAAATAAGTAGTATTCTAATATATAAAAGGTTTATCAAAATTTATATAGGTTGTTTTAAAAAATTGTCATACAATAACAAGAATTTTTTAATGATACTAAAAATAAAACATTTCCATTACCCACACAAATTATTGCAGTTTATTTGAACGAAAAAAAAAACTGTAAATTTATAAATGCGATAAAATATCATCGCTTAACTACAACTGAATCATTTGAATAAATATTGAATTAATGACAAAAATATGTATCATGGAAAATGGGCGCTATAAGTAAAGAGACCGCGGTTTGGGAATCGCCCTGTAGATCCCCGGCAATATCTGGAGAAATGAGTGCGTTCCATACATAATACCCTAAATATGTTACGTCAAACCGTTTGTTATATACCATGAAATCAAATCGGCGCGTTTCACTTTCAAAAAGTACGTCAGAGAATAGCGCATAGCGAGCGCATGAGCTGCTAAACCTACTCGACTCGACGGATTCGAAAGGCGCTTAAAACTTTTAACTCTGCGAGTTTAGTTTAGTTAGTATTTCAGTCGGCTTGGGCAAGCGCACGACCGTGTGGTACCCAAGTAGCTGGTTAGATAAACTGTGTTTGGTATACACAGATACACATTTTAGTGACAGTTCCGAGTTCTTTCCGGGCGATTGTTCGAATCGAATTTTTTCTCTGCGGCGGGAAAACGGATCCGGCGCCGTTTCGACAAGTTTTCACGTCGCGCAGAAAATATGCGAAGAAACGAAAGTGAAGAGTGCGGGTGACGATATTTAAAATTTAAAACAGAGTTTCGGTGAAAGTGGACCTGAGTGAAAGTTTGGCAATTTCGGACCATGGATTCACCTCAAATGTACGATAATAATCAACAGCATCAACAAAACAATGCCGTAATTAATCAGGACGCTAAAAAATCGGTTATAATGAACAATAATAACAACAACAACAACAACCTTACGACCCTCAACAACAACAACGGCAGCTCCAAGCAGACGCAGGCTCTTCTCAAGCAGCACCAAATGCAACAATACCAGCAACATAGTGAATTAAGTGACTTAAACACCCCCGAGATATCGTTGGACTTGCAAAATCTAATCGACGATTCCCAATTTAGTGATGGCCTCTTCTCCGAAATCCTGTCGAATCAGGGGAAGCACATGCCAAACAATTTACAAAATAGGCAGGTGATGAACGTCCACAATACCAGCTACCCCAGGACGACCCTCGCCTATATGCCGCAGCCCGTCCACAGCGGAGCCACCTATTCCACCAACCAGAATTCCAACAGCGATTCCAACAGCTCGGTGGGCAGCGACGTGCCCAGCATAAAGGAGGAACCCGTCGATCCGCAGGAGTACCGAAGGCAGCCCTGCAATCTCCTGCCGAACAACTACATACCCGGCTCGTATCCCCAAAATCCGGGCGCTACCTTCACCACGCTGACTCCCAGTCCCGTCATACATCACCAGTTGAACATGAACGCTATGAAGAACAAAGCCAATTTGCTCAACCAGCACAACATAGCGAGGAAAACCATAAAGCCTTGTGATAAAAACAGCGAGGAGTACAGACGGCGACGGGAGAGGAACAACATCGCCGTAAGGAAGAGCCGAGAGAAAGCCAAAGTACGGACGAGAGAAACCGAGGAGAAGGTCAAAATTCTCATCAAAGAAAACGAAAGGCTGCAAAAGAGGATAGAATTGCTTACCGAGGAGTTGAACGTGCTGAGGAGCCTCTTCTCCAACGTGGGCGTGCTGCCCGAGCACGTTCACAGGGAGATCAACAAGCACCTGGACTCCTTCCAGCTGCAGCACCAGCAGCAACAGCATATGTAAGAATTGCTCATTCGTACCTTTCATTTGGGAATTCGCTAAAGTGGTTTTTTTACTGAGTAAAAAAATCATTTCGTGCGCGTTCTTAATTGGATTTTTGATGTTATTTATTTTTTTTAATTTTTCTTTCCTTCCTGTGTACGTAGGTCAGAGGACAATAGGCAGAGGATGATGGATATAGTTCACGATTATGGACCATAGTCTTCGGTAATTTATGTAGAAGGTGTAATCCAATTCTTTTTTATAAATATTCCTAAAGCAATTACTCATTTTGAAATGGTGTTCGACAAAATGTAATGTAAAAAAATAAGTCTGATTTTGAGAATATATCGATTTTAAATTGCGCAAGTAACTACAATCTAAATGAGTACGTATTACTTCTAGTCACAATACCCTTGCTATGAAATAAAAAAATTATCACCGATTGAATATTTATAATCAACGATTGGGTTAGATTTTTTTAAGTATTTATGTATAGGTAGGCAATGCGATTTTTCGAAAGCTTTAAATGCGAACAACAAATATTTCAATGAATTATCCTTGAAAAGGTCCCAAATTTTCCTGGAGAGTTGTTACTTGAATCTTAAAGATTCAATAATTTAGTGTAATTTTTTTTTTGTTTTTCTTTGATAAGATCTCTTGCAAACTAAGGTGTTCTAAAATTTAGTTACATCGATTACGCAGACAGGCCAAAAAGACAATTTAATTAACGATACAACAAAATAAAAAAAAATAAAATTCGTGTACTTAAAGCCCCACCATGACCTTAAAACACCCAACTGGAATTACTCCTGTCTTGGCTGCGTTTTCGCTATTTAATTTCGGACTTTTTTCGCCGGATATTTTGCGGGGATGCGGCCGATCTGACGCGTCTGACTTTCGAAAATCGCTTCTCGCAAAATATTCGCTTTAATAGCTTGTGACGGGTATTAAATTACATTTAGATTTACTGCGCACGTCCCGCTTTCCACTTCGCCCACTTTATTTTCTCGCCTTGGACCCTTTATTATATTAATAAATAGAAACGAAATTGGGCGATATTTAATGCGATCAATCGCATTTCATGTACTCTAATTTAGTTCTGTTGGGAGAATTTTTTTACATGAAGTGGAAAGCCGGGATAAATATCTTATTCCGTTCGTTTTGTGATCAATAAACAATTGTATTTAAAAATACAAATATATATTTTATAAACCGATGCGATGATTGTACCTTTTTTTTGAATAGTTATTTTATTTAAGGGATATATTTTTTTATGAAAAAAATATATCGTTGTTGTATCTTATAATTTTATTTGTAATATATATTTTTTAAGTTTAAATTCTGTAAATTTATGTATAGTGTACTTTTAAATTTAATATATTTCCAAAGAAGAGTTTTTTTTTGTATAGATGTTCTATAGAATGATGTAAATTTTATACTACTTAAAAACGGTCTTGTTATATATTTAATAAATACATCGAAAAGTATCCCTTTTGAGTTTTTTTAATAGAGTAAATTGGGTAAGTGCATATGAAATTATATAACTTAAAAATCAAATGAATATGTATATAAGTACAAAGTAAAGTCATTCGTATCGTATTCAACAAAAATATTAATTACTTTATCTGGCCGAGACGCTAATTGAAAACCTAATTAAGTAATTATTTATCGATACAGACACTAAATTAACAAGAAAGTAAAAATCCTTGAACGTTTCCATATCATGCGACCAAACATGCCGGGCATTCGTGAAAATAAACCAAAAAAATACCGCGGGACAATTAGGACTTTCGGCCAATAAATTATCCGCTTATAGAGTTTGATTTATTACTGTTAAAAACAATATTATTCGCTAATTTTTTTAGGTAGTCTGCAATTCGCAATAGTACTAATGAATAGATAAACAAATTACCTAAAAATATTTACAAATTTAATTAAATAACGATTCCTGTAGTCTCTTGATTTTTGTTGATTAAAAAATAATCTAATTAAACCACCCATTAATTTGTTTTAATTAATTTTTCACCCGCGGTTCAACCAACTCGAATTGCACATTTCAAGCGGGATCATTACTCAATTCAATTTCGCGTTTCACCTTTAAACCACTAGATAACTGAATTATTATTGTGTACTTAACAAATTACTCGTTCGTTATTTTCGCTCGTTTCATTCGACCTACACCAACATCTAAAAATAAAGCGTACTCGAGTATTATTTTTCCTTTATTATACCGAGCGACGCTCATTCGGAAAAACTAATTAGGTAATTTATCGAGCCGATTTGATTTAATTACTACACGACAACGCTCAGTAGGCTAACAGGTCTCACTAGCCAGCAGGCGTCAAGAAGAAATACAAATTGCGTTCGCAAATAAATAAATAAAATTATCGGAATGCATCGATGGAAGTAATTTTATTATCATTTGGTGAACGCACAGACAAGTAACTATTTTCACCTTGAATGTAGATTAATTATCGGCGATTCGTAATCGTTTAGAGGCTTTTATGGCTTTGCAGAAATTGCATCTTATATTCATCAGTTTACCGGATTTCTTGCAACAATACTTTCCACGTAACAACCAGAAGAACATCGTAAAGTTGTAGATGAATAATAGCTGGTGGATTTTAGTGGAGTTTTTCGTGTTAAAATCCGGTAGAGTAAAGGTTCATTATTCTTCGGCGCTGGCTGTACTGTATCCGGAAGCACTAGCGGTGCTAGGGTGAGACGCTCAAAGTCATGTTATGGCCTTCAGTGTTCGTATTCTACGTATACCGGTTACCGTGTTACTTTATGCGATCTGGTGCCTGCACTGTGGCTTACCGAGCACCTCCAGTCGAACAGGATTTATCCGTTAATCGACATCTATTTACACTCGGTTGATTTGATTTGTTTGATATCTCACCAAGAAAGTTGTACATTAACGATTCCATTGCATAAAATGTATCAATTTCACAAATTAAAGTACATAAATGATATGAAAATGTATGACCCTTGTTACACAAAATATATACTGCTTTTGGTGTGATTATTAGAATCCCACAATGCAGCAACTGACACGAAATAAATAGCCTTCTAATAATTCATCATACTTCAAAATGTTAAGTAAATTTCTCCAAAAATTTACCTCGATAAAAATAGGATAATAAGCATGTTTTGTCCAGCTTCTAAGCGTTCGTTTCTACTTTCTACCGCTCCCTTTCTAGTGGGTTTATAAAACAACTGCCAACGACTAACAATAGTCCTTCCTTCCTACTTGATTCCTCTCTTTAAAGTCAACATTTGCATAAGATTGCCAAGAATAAGTATCATTTATGGCTGTGAGGAATACGCCAAAGCGGGATGTGTCGATGGGATGAGCGTGAGTCATGTTTTCTTCGGTGGATTTTGCAACGCGTTCGTGCATTTGCCAATAGACTCCCATATATTGGAAAAATCGAACGCGAAAATTCGGGGTACGATATGCGTACGAAGTTTCGCGTTTTCGTTTCTTCGACCGACGCTTTGCATTTTAGAAAGTGAAATTTTTATTCCAACCATAAATTACGGAGACAATAGAATGAATATTTGTCTGTTTGAATGTAAATAAACGCATGTGTATATCATTAAAAAGAATTGTACCGTCGACGACAATTACGGTATTTTTTTCGTCCGGGAAAACCTGTATTTATACTACTTCCTATTCATTACTACCATCAATTTCTAACGTTACTTGACCCAATCGCGCCAAAACGTACACACGATTCAAAATCTTTATTTGCTCGATACAAATCAAGGCGGGCATTCGAAATCTATTTGAGGATCTGTGGTTTGGAGCAGGAATTCCGATTTGGAGCAATCCGCGGCTTCCATGGCGAACCTTTTGAAGATATCGTCCAGCTCCACGTTCTTCTTGTGCTGCACGATGTAGTAGATCACTTCCACAGCGATTGCGAACCAATCTGCTATGGTGATCATAAACAAACCGCATTTATCCGGATCTTCCCTGGACGGCTGGCTGATGCCGCGCAAATCGCAAAGTTGCTCTTCAAACACATAAAAATTCGATTAAAAATTAGGCGTTGGCAGGTGTAGAAATTTACCTAAAATAACATCGGATAGAATCCTCAATCTGACGCACAACAACGGAGGAACGGGATTTTTCGCGGCGAATCTCATGCCCATCACCAACAGCCGTTTCAGGAATTTATAAGCGCAATCGACTTGCTGTTGCTTTCGCTTCTTCAAAAACGCCATTTTCATCTTCTTCTTCAGCTCGCGGCGCTTCTGCAGCTGGCGCTGCTTCTCCAAGTTCATGAGGAAGTAGGCCTCCGTCTCCTCGGCCGTCATCGCGTACAGCTCTTGTAATCTGGACTTTATCAGTTCCACTCGCGGTCTGGAATATTGATGAATATTCAAATTGAAAAAGGGGAATATTTTTGGTGAATTTACCTGGTCATGTGGTAGGCATGGCATTTGTACACGGCCAAGACGCGCTCCGCCTTGGGCCAGGCCAATCTATCGAACAAAGACAAGCACATGGGTTTGATCAATTTGCATGATAGATCCGGCGGTCGTTGGATCGGCTCCAATTCGCACATTTTGATGCCTTTGTGGTATCTTTTTGGATGATAAATTTAAATTGAAACGGGTGAATTTGGATAAAATGAAACCGTTGACACTTTAGTTTAGAAACTATACAAAACTGACATTACTGTCATAAAAATAATACCATTTATAGATGTATCGATTTTAATTGAGATCAGAATATTGCGAGTTGAGAATTGCATTAAATTAAAACATTTTTTATAAAGTTTGTTTCAATTTTCGCATCTGGAGCCGCCAAAAATTTCAGACCAAAATCACTAATGTGTTCTTCATAATATGCATAAGAAAAATTCCTTCTAATTATAACAAAGACATTCTTGTTTAATAAACATTATTCTTATCTTCCACACCACATCCTCTTGAAATTAGATTCAATAAAGTAGAGTTATACTTAACATTTATGATTAAAAACCCTCTTTAATTAATCCCAATTTTTTCTACACTTCTGGCTATACCATGCAGGACTTTTCTTTCAACCAAGGGTAATTTTCTAGAAACGCTCGATGGACGCTTTAATGGAAAAAGTGAAAATAATACAAAACTTCTTTTATTTTTGACAACACCTTCTGCTATTCCAGGACCTTTCCCTCCACCTTCTGGAGCCCGAGGGTAATTTTCAGGAAACGCTCGGTGAACGCTTTAATGGGTAGAGGATACGAGCGAGCATCAGAAGCGCGTTTAAAAAGTGAAAATAATAGAAAACTTCTCTTATATAACCAGCGGTAAGAGTCATACTCACATAATGAACGGTTCATAAATGTTAAATGTGTGCCAAGGTAGTTCGGTCACTATCTTCTGGTAACTGTCTTTGTGTATCTCGCTGCGAGGCAACGTTGCCGGAATTCCGGGCGGATCATTCGTGAATAGAGACCGGAAGGAAAAGCCGGGAAAGTTTCCTCTATTTTTACTCTTCTCTGTTTATTGCTAATCGGTACTTAACTGCTTGTAGAAGTTTTTGGATAGTATTTGGTTTGATTTGTAAACGTACTAGCAAGGATTTGGCAACATTGCGCTAAGAACTAACGAATGGGTTTTGTTGTTCTTTATGCATTTGAACCAAAATGAACTTAATTTTAGTGCGAATGGTTCTTTTTCTGTCGAGTCATCGCCGAAGAAATAGCGGGTAGAGTAGAGTCGATTCATCTCGCCACAAAAACTATCACCTCGAGATATAAGTTTATAGAAACATCATTAATGCTTGGATGATTCCTACAGATTTATGAAAATTGCATAAAAACTCCGGCACCGAAAAAAAAGACGGAGAAAAATCGGTTTTTAAACAATATTTCATCGAAAACCTCGCTCATCCGTGACGTCTAAATGATGATGTTCGGAATCGACAAGGATGTTGTTTCAAAATTTCTTACGAATTCCAATTTCACGAAATTACAAGTTTGGAAATTCCGAATCTCGGTAAAAGTAGGTCGAAAAAATCTCTTCTGTATTATTAGAAAGATATTACTTACCTTTTTACTCATACATATCTCGTTTACCTATGGAAATATAGATATTAAAAAGCTCATAATAAATCCTTTATTTTACTGAAGAATTAAATTTTCACCTATCTATAGCATCAAAAGTTTATACGGTATAATCTTCCATCGTTCAAGTGTACGAGGTTGACAATTAGATAAGAATTTCTAGTAAAGGTAGCAGGTGTTGTATTTTTTTTTCGAATTATTTTCGTCGGTTTGGGAAAATACCAGACCGAAAACGCTACTTGGAATACATACCACGTGTACAATCTGAGCACATGGGTTTCGGAAGTCAAAGTCTTGAATATGATAACTCCCGATAACGAGGTTTATCTAAATTAATAATTTTAGAAAATCGAGAATCATCATTATAAATTTACTGTTTGGTATTTTTCTGTGAAATGACCGATAGAAAATTTATAATAAAACATTATTAAATATTGCATCAGTTTACGCAGCTAAAATTAAAATTGTTCGATATCTTTCGATGATACGAAGTGTTAAATTAGACTTGAATTAAATTCATTTTCCACATGATTGACTGCTTGTTAGATATTTTTTTTATTTTCTTCGACATTTTTGAAACATGTGTTGGCAGTCCCAGTTGTAACATCCTATATTGCGTATAAATAAAATGCATAAGAAAGTTGATATAATAAGCATAATAAAATTAGGGCCAAAAGTCATTTACGTTTATTATTAATCGTAATGAAAAATATGTTTGCGATTACTAGTCAAATAATTCATCTGCGTCAATAAACAAAAATTTTAAATAATATAAAACATTGAATTGGCTGATGATCATTCATATAATTAAAACGTTATCGGATAGACACACACATAATATACATTTAATACTTGACCCTACAACCTTTCGCTATCACATTTAGAGGATCATTCCATCTGAAAGTGCGTAGCGCACTTGTGTTAAGTGCTTCCAGTTTTTTTTGTTCTCCAAATATCAAAACATTACGAATTAAATTGTTGAACTATCGAGTGGCGTGTCAAAATAATCCCGAGCAAAAATGCACACAATAATGAAATGTCATCCAACTACAACGATATCTCTGACACTCCGCTTTATCTCTAGTTTTAGTTCACTTAACCTGAGATGTATTTACTTTTTGCAAAATATAAATAAAAGTATCTTGGATCTTCGGCAAATCGTTCTTATTACGATACCAGCTAATTTCATCATTATTTGTATTCATAATAACTGCCACTGCAGCATGATTTGAGAAATTTTATCAAAAATACGCGTGAAAATCAATTAATTAGGCTTATTTGGCCACTTAAATAGCATTTGACCTACTCCTTTGTATCGGTAAATTTGTATTTTGATATCCAATTATATTAAAACTCTTTTCTTATACATTATACATATAAAAGTTGCTACATCAATACACTTTACAGAACCTCTAACATCATTATTTTATCCGCTGATAAAGGGTCTCTTAAATATTTGCAACATTTTAAACTATCCGGGGCTTTATTTATGTATATCTTGCATATTTGGCTCGCATTGTGATGTAATTTGGAGCCGTTTTTAAAAGATCTTGAAATTAAAAAAACCGACGAAAATAAATCACGCCGGACTTTGAATGAAAATAAACAACCTTTTCTTCGTGTCCCCTTGCCATTGCCAGTGGGAAATGTATTAAGCGCTCGCGCTTGCCAAAAAAATCCTTTTAACAAACCATTGCAGCGCCTATTAATAGACTAACGAGCTCGAAAAAAACGAGAATGTAACGTAATTTTTTCTGGTTAAAAAAACAGAGGAAACCGCGTACAAATCATCGCTGGCCATCCGTCAGTATCGAAGGGATAAATCGAGGAAATCCCTAATCCGAAAGAACTAAACGCTGAGAAGAACGGGTCCATTCATTGCGCTCTCTCGGCGCTGTTACGCGACAAGAAGGCAAAAAAACCTCGAAATATAAATATTCATTTCTATCGGGAGATAAGCTTCCGCGTTCTATTTACGTTTGCTTGTGCACTTAAGCCGTTGAAAAATGCGACTCCCGAGAAATAGAAGTGAACCTTGGAAAGTCAGCATTTAAATCGGACAACCTACTAATTCTTATAGCCTGTATAGGTCGATTTTTCCTCGCATTCGTACATTCCAGCATATTCCTCTTTGCTCATCTTGCTTCAATTAGATATATCTTATAATTTTTTAAGAGAGACAATGAAAAGCTCAGAAGAGACAATTAACTACCCAATAGAGCCAATTACCTGTATCTAAGAGAGTCGATTAACGACTCCAAAGATTCCATTAACTGTCCAAAGAGTCAATTGTCTAGTCAATAAGACTATTAACTATTCGACATTTATTCCTAATTAAATGTTCAGGGCAGTCAAGTAAGACCCAAGAGAGTCCATTAACTGCCCAATTGAGCTAATTAACTGCCCGATAGAGTCGATTAACTACCCAAAAGAGTCCATTGACTGTCCAAGAGAGTCAACTATTATCTATTCAATAAGACTATTAATTAATTAACAATAATTAATTTAGAATAATCTTGTAAATGGTATACATGAAAATTTATAGAGTGATTCACAGGTAATATTACCACTCTATTATTCGTCGGAAAAGTAGCTTATTTAGTAGTAATAATAAATGCAATTAAAGAATAGAACGACATTCTTGCATAGCGAGTTTCATGAATTTTTCAACTATCTCAATGCAACCGACTTCGACAAAACATACATCCTGAATTTGTAAATTTTTCGCCGACGACTTAAGGTCGTTATATATAAATTAATTAGTACAGAAAAGGTCATTTCATACTCTGATAATTGTTGATTAATTTATTATGTGTGCGTTATTAATTTTTTTTTCTTCGTTTCAAAATTTATTATGTTTGCTCGCGACTGCTTGTGAGAGCGTTTTTGCGAAAACGTTTCATCGGAAAATCGTACAAATCGATCCGGAATCGATTGTTTAGGCGATCGATGAATTAATACGTCATATTTTTATGCAATTTTATTACGTAGGCGCGTTTGTTTAACGCATACGTCTCAACTGTGACGATATTCGGCATTGTTAAATTTTTTTATCGGATAAAATTAATGTTGAAGTCAAACTACTCGTTAAAATGATGGATTTATACCACACAAACGCCTATAAAAAAGGTATTGTAAGATGTTTGAGATGAAAATTCAAGTTAGGGGATTTGGCGTAAAATCTCGAAAACTCGGCGTAAAAAATATTTCAACAGGACGTCAACAAAAGAGATACATTTTGTGAGTCTAAAAGGTCGTCAACCTGCAAGGTAAACCAAGGTAACATACAGCCGAAAATCTAGAAATGTTGCTATGTGTATATGCACTCCGCCATTGGCGCACTCGATTTTTTATTTATACTATCAGCTACACCACCTTTCAGATAATTTAATAAAATTATTACGAATGGAACTATAATTGCGGTTTTCCCTGAATTTTGGTATTTTTATCTATTCGAAAAAGTCTGGAAACGTTAACGGTTCGGTAATCTCTAGGTAATGTACCCATTATCTTATTTCCCTTTTCCGTCGATCCGGCGTTAAAAATGCGAATTCACACTCCGAAAAACCCAAATAGCTTGGCTTTGTTTACCTTGGTTAGACTTTAATATTAGGGTT